ATGCTAATTTGTTAATGTTGACATTTCACAATAAAACGAATTATATGAGAATGAATGCAGTAACAATTTACCTACTGGACGTATTCTTGATTTTACTGTTATTTGGGCTATTATTATAATTCCATGTCCTGTTATGGTGAGACAAGGTGACAAACTTTGACATTTCGGAAGGATTATATTAAAATGTTACATCATTATAATGACTCGTAGTTATATTTAGTACGAGTTCATATATCGCAAAAGAATAAGAGTAGGTTTATTTGAAATACTTAAGAATGATAGATTTGTTTTGAACTACTTTTATATGAATTAAGCAATAAGAGGAGGAGCAAAGAAAAAATACTAATGCCGCGATCTAGTGACAGAACTCTGTAAACACAAGTCTCGTATAAAGAATTACATAAACACATAAATATATTTTGATAGTGGCTATCAATACTACAATCAATATCGTACACTCAAACAAAATTAATAAAGATGAACAAAAGATAAAACATCGTTATTTGAATTCCAGTAAAATGGTATCGTTGATAATAAAATACATTCATTTGATAAGTATGCAACGTCATCGATACAAATACATACAATATCCGTGCGTTCAATATTCATTTCACGTTTCATTAACTTTATACGCCTCTTAAAATACTGTCTTTTGATTAATAGGTGAAAATGTAATTAATGACTTATCAACATGTAATTCCCACTTTAAAATACATATTATCGTTAAGACCAATCTCGCGCTTATTGGTCGAATGTGTCATAGGTTTGCCAATCACATTTAGGTACTAAATGAAATTCTCTCGACTAAGTAAGCAATCGTATCTACATATTTTTTTGAAAAGTTTCGAAAGTATTATAAAACGATTTCTTATAAACTAGAACATATACACATTACTTATCAAAACAAATAGATAGACATGAATAAATGCTGAGCAAATAAAATTGTTCTCCATAATCCACCCACAGAGATTCGCTATTTATTTTCCATATTTTTTATAACCCAAACCGTTACGTGGCGACTCGATCATTAAATTTAATCACGGCCACTTGGACTCTTCAATTTGCAACTGATTTTGGTGAAAGGAACCTCCAGGTTAACGTACGGCGATGGGCTGAAGATTTATCTTAAAATGTCAAGTGTATTTAAAATCTACGGAGTCATGGTCAAACCACTTAATAGAATTGTCAGTAACGTTTAAATTGTTTGGTGGTTATAACCATGGTTGAGAGAAGTCATCTTGATTGTAGGAGTTAAGTAGATTGATGTAAATTCAATCAAAGAGTATCATTTGTGGTGGTATTTGATTTATGCTTCAAATTAGACTTTTTCGGTATGAGTTATACCTAGATTAGATATGCAAGCTGCGAGCTAACCTTTTCTAGTTATCATAATTTTTGTTTAATTTTCAACGTTCTAACCCTTGTTTCTTTCCACCATTGAGGTTGCAGTAATTGAATTATCCATTTTAGGAAAATTTTGATCAAATTAGAACTAGTGTCTTGTGTGAATGACACAATGTGAGTGTGAACTAATGACTTTGAAAAATACTTCGTGAATCGGTACCTCAGGTATCAGGAAACGAATTCCACACAACGTCTCTAATAAAAGCACCAGGGCAACACTTGCATAATATAAAGATCCTTTATAAAATAAACTTCACTAGCCATTGTGCAACGCATTTCTTCTATCGATAAATCAACCGATTGTCCAGTCCCACCATACATCATCATGACATCATCTATTATGGACGACATCATCAGTTCATCTATCTCAGTTGTCGCGGTTTTGATAGGGACATTAAGGCCTATTACGTATTCGTACGGAACTAACGATGATTTAGAAAGACAATGCTGGAGATCTTTATCGTTATTCCTATTTTGTTCGGTATGAAAAGGACAATTTATTGCATTAGATGCACCTAGATATGTCTCACTTTGACGACATATTTCATTTCCTAGATTTGTTGGGAATGGTTAAATTTGTATCGATGTAAGTTCTTTACCTATTAAATTATAGTAATCTCTCTTATAACTAATTATTTTGTGTGAATTATTTCGACCTATACGGACAGTCGATAAAAGTATTCTACATTTTGTGTTAATGGTTTCCTAATTTGATACTTGATATTTACCCTACATATTTAGGATATTCCCTAGCAAATTTACGAACATGTCATTGTCCCAAAATCTCTTATCGGATACAAAATTAACATTATCAAAAAAAACGTTTCAATTACAATAAAGATTGGATGTAAAGATAATATTAACAGCTGGTGATAAATCAAATGATTTAAGTTTTACGACCAAACGATCTGTTAACGAAATGAATATTAAAGAGAATGTCTATTGTTACTGTTCTTTCCACATTTTATAATAAAGTCTTCCGTATTATTAAGTTACATAAAAGTTCTCGATTCTTATAAATTCTATCGATGAATTATACGTAGTTTTATAGAATTTTTCCTACGATACTGGCTTCAAAAAAATAATAATTTGACGTTTTTAGCAAATTGGGCAGCTATAACAAACGCAATTTGAAAATATTGCCATCAAAAAAAACAACCGCAATGTTGGAACCGATAAGTTGATTAAAAGTCATAATAATTCTGTGAAAACAGAACATGATATAATTAGACAATTTGTACACAACGAACAAACACTAGAAGTAATTAACGAATTACAAAACATAGTAGAGGAGTATTCCGTTCTAGAAATTAAGTGGAACTAGTAATTAATGAGTTAATCAAGCGTTCATGTTCAATATTCAATGATGTAACTGTAAAAACTGGGTAATAACCGCTTAGATGGACGTAAGGCTGCGTACAATGTGGTTAATTAAATTATAGCCTGAGTGAACGACTAAGGTCAGAGGGGTGGGCAGGATCGAGACTGATATTACTGGTTGTAGCCTCTCTTTATGTCTGTTTTCCTGTAGTTTATGGAAGACAGACATTCCAATGTAGAAGTATGATATGAAAGAAGGAAGTTTATTACGAGCCATGAGATATCCCTGGGAATAATTTGGTGAAAGTCGCGTAATTGTTCTTCTTTAACATCATACCAGTCAAAATCTAGTTTATAATATTTAGTTTACAATACGTGATATAAATTTACAAATCGTACTTCTGAAACAAATATCAATCCAAAATGTCTTCGCTAGTTCAAAGGTTGGAATAAAATTAATGCTCACAGTTCCATTGCAGTTAGAAACTATTTAAACGAACAGCATATACCAATTCCTGTACAAACGTCGGGTGCAACTTTTCATATAAAACCTGTAACGAGCCCACGCAATCTAAAAATAACTTTAAATGCTATGTAAGTTAGAATAATAGGAAAGTAGTACATACATGCACCCCACGCAAAGAGTGGAGTATGAAAGTCAAGTCGGGGAAAGCATTGGGAAAACGTAAATAGATATGTGGGCGACACAATAGGGAATTGCTATCCTTTTATCTAGAAATAGAATACTAGTGACTACTGACTGACTGATTTTAGAAGTGATTTCCTTTTGTCTCTTGTTGTTTGAAATTGATTACTTTATGGCTTAAAGAGCCTGAGTATCTTTAGCGATCAAATTACAGTCTTCTTATTTGTCATCTACTTCTTTTATTGCATTCATGTAGGTTCATTGCATTTAATGAACTGTAAAGATAATTTCATACCATGTTAAAATTGTAGTAAGTAAGAAAAATATCGGTACATCCTTACAAAGAGTAGTAGTATTTTTAGTTGATGTGGAATGATATTTATTAATAAAGTGACATTTACATTCTTAAAATGGCATCTACTTAATATTCAAGTGCAATCAGTAACATCTGTCATAAAGCCACTTAATACAATATTCCATGTTTACTTATTAATGTGACCTATTTTTTTACGTACGTACACTTACAACAAGAGTTCAACATGGTAACTTTTTTATGGGATAAAGCGGTAAACTAGCAGACGAAACACCTGATGGTAAGCAATCGGTGTCGCCCATGGACACCTGGTACACCAGAGGCGTTACAAGTGCATTACCAGTCTTATGAGGATTAGGAATTTGAAGATTGTTAAGGATATAGGAATTGGGGAGGGAGGGGGTAATTGGGCCTCCGATAACCTCAGTTACACGACGAAACACAATGCAAGCGTTGTTTCACGTTGGTTTGCTGTGAGGCCGTGGTCTCACTCCGGTCGAGCCGGCTTATTTGTGCTGAAAGATGGTTCTCCCACACTTAAACTTACTGAATGGATATGAAGTAACTTGTATCAAAAGTAGTTTTATTTTTTGAGCTCTTATCTTAATAACAATAACATGGTTTTCAAAATAGTTAATAGTAAATCCTTTTTTGATACAAAGTCTACGGACGGCACTGATCACATAGCATCAAGTGACCTGTATACCAATTTGAATTAAAATAAAAAATCCAATTCAACTACATACTTAACGTTCCTGTTGTAACTAATCATGATATTCCATGCAGCTTTACTTAATTTACTCAATAACTACAAATGATATCCTACTTATGCATATATACTAGCAATTTATAAATCTATTAATATGAAAACGCCTCGATCATACACACGAATACCGAGGTGTTGGAGCACGCAACGTATATGAACGTAATTGCCACCCAAATGTTCTATCTGATATAAAATACGATAGTTTTATTTGATATGAGTGATAGATATCTATAGAGATGAGATTTTCAATAAGCGATATTTGTGTAGTCAGCACAAAATCAGGTTTAAAATCGAATTACACCTCTGGCTAATACCGAGTAAAAGCAAAAGCCATGATAAATTAAGTAAAAACGCGGGTTACTCACGTGAATATACTGAGAAAAGCTCTACTAGTTTCGAACCACAGAGGGGTTCTTCCTCATGAGCAGCGTGCGCGGTCGCGGCGACGTCGCGCAGCTCACTGGTTTTTACTTAATTTAGTATGTCTCACGATATTTATTATAAAACGCCATGATGGCTAGTTTCTATATCTTGTACTTAATTAATTCCAGACATGGAAGACGAATGCTACCCAGCAATGCCAGCCAGCGCATGGAGCAGCCGACGAAGGTCCAGTGACTCCCCTCCAAGAGAAGTAAAAGCTGAACCGAAGTCTGAACCAGAGTCCCCAGCGTCATCCTGCCCGCCCTCACCCACCCCTGGAACACCCGTCACACACCTTGACTATGTTATTGACCACACGGTAAGGATGTTCTTTTTATCAAACGAATATGATCTTTGGAGTAATATAATCCTAAGGTCTAATTCATAATAACCAATACATAATACTTCCAAATTTGAAAAGAGAAATACCTACCTATCTTTTTTTTTGCCTCTCATATTGCCTCTCGGTGGAGGTTATAACACCGTCATTCAAAGAGGTTGTCTATTAACAGGACAAGAATTGATTTAATCATCACAAAAGCTTTAATTTACACCGATCTAATACTCTCTTAATATTAGTCTAATTTAATATTACTTAATGCTCGCTTTCAGTTATCTAACAATCCTCTCTGGCTGACTCTTAAAAATTGCATTAAAGTACATTCACAGCTTTTTGCACGATTTCAACACTTTCTAATGCATTTTCTGTTGCGTTTTAAGTAAAAAAAGTGTCTAGATCTTTCTTCACTCTTTTTATAAGAACTAAACCTAGACGTTTATCGTCACAAGCCTGAATGCTGAAAGCGGTAGTTTGGTTCAGAATATCTTTATTATTCATTAAAAAGGAATGAGACAATGCACTATCTTTCACTTCAAATGAACGTGATTATTATATCGCTTCCTATATTATGAAACAAACGATGGGAAACACATTCTTAATTGAGTATTAAATTGCTACGTGCGAGGGCACGCCTTCTTTCAATAGATCACGCGTCGCGTCTTCATTTCTATCTGTCAGTGCCCCACGACTCGATAACTCGACAAAACTAAAGGTCGTTAAAGTTCAAATATTTATTTCGTGAACTCCGCCGCTTTCTCGTATCCACACGAATTAAACGGCTCTTTACAAAATCGTCGATTTTTAGCATTCCGTATCTCGATAATTGAATCGTCTTTATTGTCATTGCTTTCCAAAAAGAATATGCCAACTTCATTTACTTTTTGAATCAGGTTTAAGTCAATTTTGTAGGATATTTCACCAAATGAGGCATACAAATATATTGGAAAGTAGAAATAGTAAATAATAGAAATGAAAAAGCAACCTAATTGGGTCAGAACAGAAAATAAATTCGGAAACGCACCACAAAGTTATATACGGAACTATAACCGTTTATTCACAACTGACACGCAGTCGGCATGTTTTTCATTGCGTGCGTGACTCTTTGGTCATTATGTACGTAATTATTATCTTTAATCGCGCACTCCGGAGGTTTTCGTTTTAACATTGTCGGAGTGGAATCTTCAACGATTATTGTAAAACAGCAAACAGTTTTTGCAACGTCGTTTACATTCCTCAAATACGTTTTAACTTGAGCCATTTCTCGTGTATCTTTGTATTTTTTAAACAACCTAGAGTAAACATTGTAAGTTGGGAATACTTCTCACACAAGAAACTGATGTTTTTATTGTAGTTACATTTCTTTCAGCAGCACTAAACTTCCTTCCAACAGGTTATGACCGCTCTACAAATAACTTTAACCGATCAAGAAATTTTCCTGTTATTTTCAACTATACTCAAATATCTTTTACTAGCTACTTCCGCGCGGTTACACATGCTCTATTCAGCTTCTATTGGTCGTAGCGTGACGTTTTATGGCCTATAGCCTTCCTCGATAAATGCGCTGTCCAACACAGAAAGAATTATTCAATCAGACTTGTACTTCCGAAGATTAGCGCGATAAAACAAACAAACAAAAAACAAACTCTTCAGCTTTATAATATTAGTACAGATATATAAAGTATTCTTCGACAAAACTCCTAACATAAATTCTTATAGTCTCTTTACTTGCAGACCGGCACAATTCACATGCCACAAGCAGTTCTACAGAAGGTCGGCGCAGCGGGAATGCCACAACTGCTGCTCAGCGCTGCGCCGCGTCTAGCCACCTCGCTCAACTCTAACAAACTTTCCATCAAGGTCACTTCCAGCTCAGGAGCATCAGGTAATCGTCAACTTGTCTATGTATTAAGTAGCTCTAATAAACATATAATATAGATGGGAAAATTACGAATAGCTGCTTTGCATCCCGGGAAAGGTTTTAAGATGTTCCATAGGCCTGACTTTGATCTGCTTTGAACTTCAATAATATTAAATGGCTACTCAAAGCGAGAAACTAACAAATTCTTTACCAATTTCAGGTTTCAACCTCCCTCCGACACCTCCATCATCCCTGTCTTCATCAGACAGTGAGGGTGCCCTGTCTCCAGCTCACGAAGCGTCCCAAGCTCCACTAGCGCCCCCTGCGGCCCCGGCGCGTCGCTCGCACCTGTACGTGTCTCACCACACCCGGCAGCCCATCAACACACCCTTGATTAGCAGTCAACCGGTAAGAACTTACTATACTTCTACTGTAGAATTCATTGGTCTTTTCCGCTGTCGTTGGAAAATGCCTTTTATTTTCGTGGTAGGTACAACGCCTATAACTGGAAAACTTTTGGTATTTTCTAGTACAATCCACAGTTCAGCTCTTGTTTCTTTTGGGTTATTTTTTATAGCTCTTTCCTTTTTTTAATCTAAGAGAAGTAACTACTAAGCCTCAATACTTTTGATCTTTTGATGTGATAGCATTGTTACGTTCTCATCATGATCCCTTTGAGACATAATTTTATGACTAAGTCTTACCTCATTGGTTTACAGAAAGGGTCAACTGGAACACTAGTGCTAACAGAAGAAGAGAAACGCACGTTACTTGCTGAAGGCTACCCAGTACCAACTCGCCTGCCCCTCACCAAGGCTGAAGAGAAATCCCTCAAGAAAATCAGAAGGAAAATTAAAAATAAGGTACGTTTGCATTACATTATAGATCAAAATTCGTTTCAAATCTTTAAATGATTTAACAATACCCTTCCTTTAATCAGGTATTAAAATGATTTAAATACATTGTGCGTACGCTGCTCCTAAATAACAGTCCAATATGACTTAAAACTAGTAGAGATCTACTTGAATAGTGTAGAAGATGTAGAAGCCATATATTTCAATTAAAACATTTCATTTTTTAGATATCCGCACAAGAAAGTAGACGCAAAAAGAAGGAATACATGGACCAGCTGGAGAGGAAGGTGGAGATACTGATATCTGAGAACACAGACTACAGGAAAAGGGTGGAGACGTTGGAACAGAAGAACGCGAGTCTGCTGAGCCAGGTCGCCTCCCTGCAGGCCATGGTGGCGCGCGGACGTAAGTGACGGGCTCCACACTAACACTTGATTGTCCAAGTATGACGCTGTCCCATAACGGAATCAATGTATATTTTAGACGTATTTACATACACGAGTGTCCGGGGAAAGAACTGTCAGCGTTTGAATGGTTGCTCACTGTAATTGATAGTAAATAGGTATTCTGTGGTGCTGGATCCGATATACCCACTGCGTCGGTATACAAACTGTCAAGTGCCACACTAGATATTTATTTTATACAACTCTGATACAGTTTTCGTTCGAGACGCGAGGGATGACTTGATAACAGGGAATTATAGTACTGGGGATTAGATTCGTATCAATAGTTATTTACGCGTGTTCTTTGAAATCTCGTAATATATTATAATAGCGCTCTAACGGCGATAATTAGTGTGTAAGTTTTATTTTATGCGTGTTTTAATTAAAATGTGCAATTAGGTTAAGGATTTTATTGTTACCCAAAGCATACATTGTACTTGTGTGGCTCGCCGTGCCCAGGTCGTGGCCGAATCATGTTGATGGTATTGACACTAGATTATCAATAGAGACTACTAAAGTTAATATAGTTTGGGACATAGCGTGTTGCCGATACCTATGGAACTGAGCTCGCGAGTCGCGGTGCGTCGTGTTATCGGAATCTTAGTAGCATAATAATGTAAGGCGGACAATGTACCAGCGTGCGTCTTACCGATTAATATTGAATTCCATGAATTTGCATTTATAGCGAAATGTGTATTGTCCTAGAGATTTTACCTTGTATTTAAGATAAAGTTAGTTATGTATCTAATAGTGGACCTATTTAAAACCGATTTGTGTGACAAGTGTTTTCGGTTATGTCTAGTCTCTTGTAGAACCGTCAGGCCTCGTTCTGGAGGTCTTCATAGAAACATTAGCTGTATTCTCAGTTCTGCGCTCTATATCGACAAGTACAAAATAATGGCATGCCTTCAACGAGAATAACGTAACTAACTCTAATGAGCTAACTCATTTATTTACATCCAGTATTTTTACTATAGTAGGGTTGCCTGCTGACAAAAAATGGACATGTTTACAGTTTGCCAGCGTAAAAAAATAGAGAACGATATTAAATATCAGGTATCTATGGATTGGTGAGCTATCCTTTTTTGTGGACAGGTACCTAAAAGTTTAATGAATTAATACATATATAACAACATGCTCTAGCAGAATCTCCAGATGAATAGTCAGTGCATTAGTATATTCGTGGTCTTGCCAACTCCGCCGTAGCTACCGTTCAGCGTGATACTTCCATATAACAAACTGCTAGTGATCTTTCTAACATTCCATTTCTTAGTAATATGAGTGACTTAAAGTGAGCTTGAGTACTTATTATAACTAATTGTAGACTTTAGCGCCGAACACACTTCAAACCTTTGTTTACGGAGACGGTCCGATTCACAATACAGAAGCAGACTTTTTGTCCCACTCGTTTGTATTAGTAATCAAAAATACCAACGTAAATGTTCTCAGTAACACGAATCGGAAAGGTACCGAAAATAAATGTTTCCAGTGCGCCTCGACTTTATTTAACTAACTTTGTAAACAAATTAACACATTTTTTTTTAAAATAAAACAAAATGTGCTGTTATAAATTTTCGTTTGAATAATTTATAAGACTAGCCAATCAAATGTTAGTTTCTTCCAAATTTTAACATTGTCGTTACTAATCGACTTGTAGAAATTAATATGAACATTGTTTGTTAACAGAACTACAATAAATTGTAAGAAGTTTAACAAACTTGCTTTCTACAAATCGATTGATATATAAGTGACAAGATTGTATATTATATCTAAATGTATGAAGAGATATATTTACCTGAATGCCTGTATATAGGTAATATCATTGTTTTGTGTAATAATACACTGTTTGTGCAATTAATTTGTTCTCTTATACACTCGTAAATGTTCTTCCTATTTAGTAATTTAAGAAAATGTTCTATTTATATAGCGCTGAATTAATATATCGACATTATTGTCCCTGACACCTCGGGGGAAGTTTTAAAGAATTGAGATATATTTTAGGAGATTTTTTCTTAGGAAATTTTAGATATATACATATATATATATATGTGAAACACTGTTTACATGTCTTTATCACTATACAAGTTAGGTCTCTAGTAAAATATCGTTAGTACCTACGATCCTACATACAAGTTTATTATTGAAACAAAGTGTGCCTGCCTATCAGCTATTTGATTTACTCGATAAGCAAGGATAGTGAATTATCTTTTAGAAAACAATATATAATTATTTAAAGATATGAAATATTCAATTCCTAATATGGCATTTACCGTCTGCAAAAGTGATTTTATAGGAATTATAATGAATTAACTGATGTTAGTAATATATTTAACTTATAATGGAATTAATATATGAGAGAGGTGCGTTCGCGCCGGCTTTTTATGACATAATAACTTGTAATGTAAATGAAATGCCAAACATACTTACTTTTATATGTTAGTAGGCACCATACATATTTGGGTGACAATGTTACGATTCACGAGGTTGTTTTTAATTGGATGTTTGAGTTGGATGTATCATGTAGATGAGCCGACATGGATCGTAGTCTGTGGCACGCGCCGCCCGCGCCGACCGCTCCGCCTGGAGCCGAGCGCGTCTTGTTATTCATTATAAAGTAATTTTATTTGATAGTTTTATTTGTTAAAACTATACGTTACCTTGAGTCATGATTTGTTAAATCGTTTGTTTTATTATTATTTTTCAGTAACATTGCGGATTTTACTGTCACCCTTCTAATAAAACGTCAAATATTGTAATATGATTTGTTTCTTTTATCCTGTCCTTTAGTTTTAAATATTGATATTAAATAATACTAAAGTTTCATAGCTTTCTTTCAGAAGAGCGAGAGAGAGAATATTATGTAATTTGATCGTATAAAAACCGACTTATAAAGTCAATACTGATTTTTCTTATGAAAGGGATAGCAAGCATGCGAATGTGGATCATCTGATGGTAATCAATCGGCCGCCCATACCTGCAACACCAGAATAGTAATAAGTGTTTTGCATTCGTCGAGCACCCGTGAACCTCACATGGCAAAACACCACTATCAACTCGAACATAGCTATGACGAGAATCTAAGTCATAAGTGCAGCTGCTATACTTGAAACAATCGAGATCTCAGTTCATGAAAAACACCCCAAACTTGATGACATTGTAAGTAACCAAGAAAACACTAACCAGAAAGAAAAAAACATCTTTATCATTATCATCATCAACAGCCTATGATTGCCCACTGAGCAAAGCCTCTTCTCACACGAATAAGGTATGAGCTAAAGTTTGGCTAGGAGCTCTAGATTTCGAGATATCGCAAGATTTCCAATAGACCATGATCATATCGGTCCTAAGTTGTCCTGTTGTAATAGACAAACGAAAAATATTTGCGTCTAAAAATATTTCATTTGGTTTTTTGGTGGTAATGAAAAATATTGTCCAAATCACTGTTAAATCCTTTATTTTCCTTAGAAAGCTTACGTACAACGTTTCTGCATACAAATCCACATATATCCAAATCTCCAAATACACAATTAAGACTAGATTTTATATTAGCCATAAAATACATATAATTATGTAAAAACCAAAAGATTACATTGAGAACTATTGGAGCACCTATGGTTTTTCTATCGCTCAGTCTTGGTTTAAATATCTACACTTAAATCTAAACTTAATTCTTAAAATACAAGTATTCCAATCATAAATGATTACAATAGAATCTCAATACAAAAAAACAAACGTATATTATAGAATATTGTTCAAGAAAAACCCTTATATAACATCGACATCTATGATAGAAAATCAAATCGAAAGAAATACAATGATCAGATTTACAACTTAAAAATAAGACTTATATTAAATCAATTCCAAATAAAATATCTACAATATGGTTTCAAAGTGTGACGAAGACTTTTTTCTTGGCCATAATGTGGGCTATGATGACCCACAAGGCAGTACCCCAAACAGCTTCAACAAGACGTATAGCATGGGTCCTCATTTCTGGGATTCTCCAGTGGAATGGGAACAGATGGGCGCAGAGTGAATGACCGATGTATAGAGCTATAGCGTTGAGGCCAGGAGCCCTGAAGGGACCGCCTCCCCAAAATCTCCAGGCGTCGGTCAAAGTGTAGCAGAAACAGAGAAGTATGAGACAGCAAGCTGATGTTACCAGGACAAATGACATGGACCTGGAAAATAAAGAGAATCGCTATATTAAGACGTAAATTAAATAGCAAGGTTTTGTCTTAAAATAACCTTTTTTGCATGATCCTAATCATCGTAGCAATGAATACTAAATCCTAGGTACATTTACAAAGTTACTATTCCCAAATTTTGCGTCGTTTATGATGTCAAAAGCATTAATTAGTTCTATAATAAGTTAAAGAAACTTACCAAAGATTTTTATTGATGGGTATTACGCCATGTTCTCTTGAGAAACCAGCGAGTAGGGCCCCAGCTAGCGCGAAGACCAGAGCCCAAGCCAGCCAGCGGGAGATGCGAGCCTTGTGGGAGCGCTGTAGGAGCACGGTGGCACCTGCTTGTACACCCAGCAGTGCTTGCACGGCTGATGTAAGGCATCCTAGAGAAGAACACATAGAAATGATTTAACAAAATATAATATATTCAATAATCTTAACAGAAAGTAACGACTTACAACATTAATTATATTGAGTTTCTGTTTGAAATCAAATATTGGATTTAGATAGGTTATTAATTTCAGCCGTTAGACTGGACTCGGTTGTTTTCGTATAGCCAAAATGATACACGAAATTATCACGAGAATACTAAAATACGCTTACATTATTTAGAAACAGAGACATTCATATCTCATAAGGACATGTGTATGTCTTGGTGGCCCGGAGGTTTAAAATGCGCCCCCTTCTCATGCATGAGGGTGCGGGTTCGAAACCTACCAACGACAAGTACCCATGTGACTTTCCGAGTTATATATACTTTCTAAGATTGTCTAGACACCGCTGACAAACGGTGAAGGTATGGGCTTATAATTTCTAATTATAAGTTTGTAATCGCCAACCAGCATTGTGCAAGATTGGTTTTGCAGGCAGGATTGCCTTCTCCGTGTGAGAAGAGGCTTTGCTTAGCAGTGGGCATTTATAAGCTGTTGATGAAGGACATGTGTTAATTACCTAGAAGCCCCTCAGGATCCGTGGGTTCTCCTCCATAGACTCGCATTGCGTCACTTCGCTGGAAGACGTGTGATCGACCTATTAGAAGACGGTCGATGTAACCAGCTGCGCCGCCACTGCAGTTCGCAGCCACCCAATCGTCATGTAAACCTCCAGGCCCCAAGTAACCCCTGAAAACGACATTAGATAAGATTGATAATTTGATACACAGATAAGATAATTTTAAATAGAGTTGACGAAATAGACTCACCCGCTATTACATGGGACTCATAACATAAATAGTGAAAATTGGGTGTTACATTGTACAGTGGCACCTGCACACGGTACCTACCCCTTCAGGGAGAAGAGGCGTGAGGGGCATTATTTTATGTTTTTGACGTAATCTAAAGTCAGTTTACACCAACGAACTTTCCAATCTCTTTCTTATTTGTAATAATTAATTGTTTTTCTATGGAAATCGAACCTAATCCGAAGCTTTGTTAAAAAGCGTCCGAAATATGTTAACAATAAAAAAGTATATTACACAAAGCATGATTTGGGTGCATTTCCATAGTGCATACAGGGACAGTCACCGGTTTGTGTGTCGATTACATTTAGGTTAAAGTTGTCTAACACAGAGGCCCTCTCTGTGCAGTTGGCTTCGGCCCCTCGTAGGCCTCCCAAATGACCGGGACCCTGTGATCCCGTGAATGGTAAAGTACATAATAATGTTATACTTACATGGGACAATTGGGATCATGTACCACGAAGGTGAGGACGCTATGAGCAGCCACGAGAACACCAGCCAGTACCCAGCACCATACACATGATAATACGTCCTTAAGAGCCTGGCCACATGCACCCTGAGGAAAAAATAAATCCACATTTTCATATCCTTTAGACGTCTAATACTTCATACACAAAACAGGTACAATATCTATAGGATTTCTCAAACGATGATTTTTCACACAATTCTCATAAAATAATTACAGCCTGTAAGATAAAGATTTCTTTAGAACCGTATACGATTTCGAAGAACATTCTAGAAATCTAAGATATTTTATAGGTAGTTAGGTACTTATATTGTAGACTGCCTCGTTGGCCAAGTGGTCGCAAGTGCGACTGCTGAGCAAAGGGATTGGATTCCCGGGTCGGGCAAAGTATTACTGTATTTTTTTTAAAATCTCAGTAGTGCGGAATCTAGAATTGTGTCCTGTATACGACAATAGGCTCACCCCCATGGGATTCATAACATAAATAGTGAAAAGTGGCTGTTCCATTGTACAGTGGCAATAAGTGCCGTAATGTGCACCTGACCTTCTCCAAGGATAAAAAGCATGATGTTATGATGATGATGTAGTTATATTGTAGTATAGACGTTCTAAAATAGTTTTTTGGACACAGTACTTAGGTATTTTCATTGTACATGTGGACTTGTATGATATGATCTATATCAGCTCAAAAAACAGGTCCCGTTTAATGATGGCGGTTGGTGCTTTTTACGTACCAGCTTAATTCACAAAAAACTCCGAATGCTAATTAACCGAAAGTGAACGGTACCTTGACTTGAATATCTTAAGTATGTGTGTAGAGCACGAATCATTGGTTTTACTTTTCATAATATCCCTGGTACAGTTACGTTTATGATCTGTCATATTTTTTCTGCGAATCGAGTTCGAAAATTACTTTATTTTGAGCCGCCAGTTCGAAGCGATCCATTACTTGTATAACAATAAGAGAAAATTAGTAATCCTAATGATTATATGTAAGTATTGATAAGTTGATGTTTAGTCTATCCTAAATATTAGGTATACGTACTGCCTATATCATTCGTCATTTTGATGTCTAATTAAACAATTACAACAGTATGTACCTACTCTATTATCCCTGTCCGTTGCAACACATTATGTTCTATCAAAATGTATACACTATAAGAATTGTTTACTAAATACAGGCTGAAATTTTATTCTAGACTAACTAATAACCACCCGGCCTTCCTAGTCATGTGTCATGTACCGAACTTTCAATGTAATTGACAATAGCAAACATAAAAAAAAATAAGTCCAAGTCCAAAAAAATCTAGTCAAAAAATATAGTTATAATATAATAATATCTTACACTCACCCGCGGAGGAGTGTAGTATTTGGGAGCGGTGAGGGCGTAGAAACCAGCAGCAATGAGGTAGGACACTGCCAGCCGCTGCAGGACTCCGAAGATTCGCAGCTCATTCAGCATGTTGGAGCCGTAGATCGTGTTCAGAGACATGCCAAGCAGGAACATGATGATGGATCGCTGGAAGGAGAAAAAACCCATTTAAGCCTTTGACTGCCAAACAGTTGAAGGAAAATTCTCTGCTAACATTGACGTCGCACAAATTGCAAGACATACTACATTGCTTGTTTAATGAAGATCAACACATACTGTTAGTGTATGTTAGATATTATCTTCGTTTCATTTAGAAGATTTTAAGTGTGGGAGAGCTATGCTTCGGTACGAATGGGCCGGCTCGACCGGAGTGGTATCACGGGCGAGCAGAATACCGACGTGAAACAACGCTTGTGTTGTATTTCGTCGTATGAGTGAGCTCACCGGAAGCCCAATTACCCCCCTCCCCAGTCTCGCCAATCCCAGAATCCTTCAAAATCCTCAATTCCCAATCTCCAAAAGGCCGGTAACGCACTTGTAACGCCTTGGTGTTTCAGGTGTCCATGGGCGGAGCCGATTGCTAACCATCAGGTGATCCGTCTGCTCGTTTACCGGCTTATGCCATAAAAAAAGATTTGAGAATAACAAAACAAAAAACCTACAAAGGATCAAACAATCAATTAATTATTTTAAACATAAACTTTGGACAATCGGACAACATAAAAGATCCTAGTCCTGTGACAATAGTTAATAATAAAGTTTGACATTTTGAACTATGCAATTCAATATTCCAACAGCCAGATGATACAATACAAAGACCTAAAGACAGATGTATCTACAAACACTATCGTACAGATGAAATTCAAATGGTTGGTGTATCAACAATTGACATGATGAACAATGCACCTAAATGTCATTGTGTTTTGTTATTGGACTATACTCTAGTACATTGTATATGTTACCATTTTGGAGCGTTGAGAGTACGTTACCTTCAAAATATAAGTATAACAATATCTTATATCACTCAGTTGTATTGAAACACAGTATAATAAGCCCAAAAGTTAAACACCTACTCAAATCGAATCACATGCAGCTCCCAGCTAATATTTTAACCCGACTTAAAAATAAAAAAGGAGGTTCTCAGTTCGACCTGTGTATATTTATATCACGATTGACTTAACCGCCTTTTAATGCGGTTTTCAGAAAATTGTGGACTTAGGAGAATGTGTTATTTTATTAATAAACGGACTTCAAATAAGGGGGTTGAAGCCGGTTCCTTGAACATGATTTATAAAAAAAATATAATTTTAAAGGAATTAAATAAAACTACAGCAGTTTCTAATTATTTTACATTCACGCGGAAGCCACACGATGAGGATAGGCGAATTACGTGATACTGAGATAAAACATTATCATACTATACTGTGATCACAATCCACTTTGTTGGTAGTTTTACCTCCAATAAAATTGACAGATACTTCACGCTTTGAGATAAGACAGAATTTCTTAAATTTCTAAATAGTAGTACATAGAACTGCCTCGTTGACTGCCACATTGGTCGAGTGGTCGCAAGTGCGACTGCCGGGCAAGGGGTCTCGGGTTCGATTCCCGGGTCGGGCAAAGTATTATTGTGTTTTTAAAAAATTCTCAGTAGTAGCACGGAGTCTAAAATTGCGCCCGGTATATGGCAATAGGCTCACCCCCTACACTGACTCATAACATAAATAGTGAATAGTGGGTATTACATTGACAGTGGCATAATGTGCACCTCTGCCTACGGAGATGGGAGGCGTGATGATATGTTATGTAGTACATAGAACATTGATAAGTTACTAAGTTTAAATTCCAGACTTATTAAACCTACTCAATGTTGTTTAGTTTCCAAAAGCATCTGACTCATTCATCACATCAATAACTGTTGACATATTGAAAATATCGGATGTCAGTAACAGGCTAAAAGGAAAGACAAAATTGTTTATGAATCACACGACATTCATGGCAGTCTTAAAGTGTAAGTCATGCAAAAATACAATGAAATGTTTAGAAAATCAACAATGACACAGTCGTACACAAAGTGCATTCACCAAAACGTAAACCGAAAGAAGCCATCTGTTTATAAACCTCAATTGCAACAAGAATAAAGAAAAAAGTGAACAACATAATATAAACAAATCAATTAAAATAATAGCCCCACCAATTATATCTCAAGTGCTTACATCTGCCGAATGACGGACATTAAATCTTAGACCGCATTCATACACGCTACTGCTTGAAATGCGACCGACCATTAGCTACGAATTGGTTTGTGGGGACACAATAGCGTGAATACAATAGAAGTAGATGATAGCGATGCGATAATTGAACTTAGAAAGGCCTTAAGATACAATATCGCCAAAATACCGTTGCTAAAATTCTGAGCCTCCTTCGATCCTTATACATACGCATCAATCTTGTGACATTCACACAAGTCGATTGTTCCAAACGAATTGTAATAGCCTCCTCTCCAATCTAAACCAGGCCATGTCCGTCACTGGGTTACTGTATCGAACAACTAACGATGCTTTCAATATAAAGCGAACTGTTCCCATTACCGACACGCATGTGCAATTCATTGATGGTAACGATCACTAAGTGAAGAAAAATAAACGAGTAAAAGAGGATATGGATAGCGTACTCGGCAATGTAGCAGATTGAGTTGGAGAGAGCTATCTAAATGTTATCACGCGAACAGAATTTCCAATGAAATATGTAGCAAAAAGTTGGCTTAGTATTTGTGGCGAGCGCGTTGATGTAGTACTCGTATGCATTGGAGATCTGATCAAAGTACACAATGAGACAAAATGCGGAAGTCTGTAAGTTGAAGTTGGTGAGGCAACGAAAGTGAACGGATCGCGTGCGATGAATACAAATATCTGTGAGTCTATTGAAGAGCACATTAATCACATATTACGATTAAGACAGTGTGAGATAATTCTTAGTTCCTCGTTATTTAACTCGTTTTACCCAAGATGTTAGTTAATAGAGTGAATTGCTTCAGACCAAATACTTAACGACAGAAACGCAAATAATCTAGAACAATCAAATTCAGTACCTACCTAGCTAATGAGAGTTTGAATTTTCCACAAATTCCTCAAGAAATAAATGTAACGGTCTGCTTCTTAGAAATTTCAAATCAGTAAAAATCTTAGTACCGAACAGAATATCATTTTAAGATTTCACACACTTCCTGGGACAGAGTTATCTAAATAATTTCGCAAAGGTTTTCATATCAATCGTCTGACTCACATCTCTCTAATCGGCGCGCCTCTTGCTTTAGCTCACCTACTTCATTGTATCTGTTATTTGCATCACAATGTAACAAAGCCTTTCACAAGGAACCAACGTGACCTCATGCCCAGAGATCATTTATGCACCAACCATCCAATACATACCAATATAAATAATCCACTACCTGAACCTTTTGTCCTCAATTTCACTGTAGCTTTCTTTGTCAGTCAAATAGTAGGAAAATGCTTATGGTTCAAGATATCAGATTCTATTGAATAAATTATTATCCTACCTACTTTACAACTTTTTCATTAGTATTATAAGTTCCAGGTTTGGGCCGAAATGCTCAGACTAGAGTCTTAGACTAGAGAGAGAATGTTGAATAGTGTTGCATAGAATCTTTATGAAACTGTACAAAAGTGTATCTTTCAGTCAAAATGTATGTGTGCCTCTCTGACTTCTTCTACAAGGATAAGGAGTGAGTCTTGATTGAATCAATTGGAACAACGTCACCGAGGATTATTAAGATCAATATAAAAAAATTAAAGTCCACAAACTAAATTTGCAATTACGCAATTTACTTTAGTGGAATGAAGACAAATGCTGCATTCTGCTCTTTTAATAACCGCTTACAATTGAAAACTTTATATTTCTTGTGATGATAAAGCCACAAAAAACCTATAAAACGGTTCGATATATATAAACTTGTCAACATATCATTGTTACGTCTCTGAATCACCACATTTAAACTTAAAAAAGGCTATTCTTAAGTCAAAAGCCCACTTTTATAAACTACTAGTGCCATAAAAAAACCTTGGGAAAAACATCAATAAACATTTTAGCATCCTTTATAAAACCTGAACTAACAAGCCATTTACCCGGCGCATACGCACCGGCATCGATCCGCGTAACGTTTACATAACAAGACTGGTTCCAAAGGTTTGACCTTAAGCACCCCTTTCACAGTTAGCACTCAGTCTGCGCCTGCGCCGGCTTACGTAAGCAGACTGTTACAAGTATTACACCATACGATTTATTAATGCGATCTGATACGAAAAACAATAGCGAAAAATTATTATTAAGATGGAATGGTTGGTTGAAAGCTTCGTTTCAAATATAGTGACTTATTTTATTAATGGATACAATAAAAAGTCTCCGGTGGAACAATCGACCTTTTAAGCGTCACCTCTGCTCTTTAAATTGCACTTCTGAGATCGATTTTTTTAATAAAATATTTATCATCAGAAGAATTACGATTAAGATTGATTTTCTAAAAGACTTTTTCTCTGGTTTTTGCTTAGCAACCAAATAGGTATTATTATTATTATTTATGGGATAAGCCGGTAAAAGAGCATACGGATCACGTGATGATAAGCAATCAACGCCGCCCATGGACACCTAAAACACCAGAGGCGTTACAAGTGCGTTACCGGCTTTTAGGGGATTGGGAATTTGAGCATTGTGGTGGATTCGGCGACCTCTTCGTACCTCCAATAACCTTACTGACACGACGAAACACAACGTAATCGTCGTTGTTTTACGTCGGTTTTCTGTGAGGCTGTGGTATCATTCCGGTCAAGCCGGCCCATTCGTGCCGAAGCATGGCTCTTCCGCACTTAAAATAAGTTAAATAATTAAATCGCCAAATTTTCGAGATGATATAGGAAAAACTACTTAGGGATCTCCAACTAGTGTTATTAGAAAATGTAATGCTAATAATAATCTAAGTTTACATACCCTGACGATGTGCATAACAATCTTCCACCTGGGCACTCCTTTGGCGAAGGCACTCTTCACCGACAGAGGGATGCAGACACCCATGATCCACAGGAAGGCAGGGAACACCAGGTCACCAGCGACGAGACCGTTCCACGTTGCATGCTCTAGCCACCAGTAGCCTCCAGCACCATCGTTCACAAAGATCATGAAGACTATTGCCATCCTGGGTAAAAAAACAAAAAGACCTTTATGATAGAGTACAATACTTGTTTCCAACGTATTGCCACATAGTAGGTAGGTGCTACTTATAAACAAATTCTTCGGTATTGGAAGTTGGAACTGTCACAAATGTAAATTACGATGAAAATTAAAAGTACCTCTTTTTAATCTGATATTATGTCACTCGATTTAGATTTTTTTGATTGGGATACTGAAACATACCTTCTCGCCTCACGACTGTCTCTTAAGGTGGTAGGCAAAGACTATAGAACACCATTTGCTACGGTTCTTACACCGCTGTTACATTTGTTGAGCATGAGCGTGCTCATCGGTAAAGGGTACCTACTTTTAATTTGGCCCTTCTTTAATATATTAAACTGAATATTATTTTTCAGTTAAACTTTACAATAAATGTATATAGGTAAATCGAAACTATTTCGCAAACCCATCTGCTATAAAATGATGTCGAATAGCAAAATTATGGCAATCATTGTTACCTCTTACTCAAAACGCTAAGTAGCCCAAAACCTCATCTGTGTAGCGCCAAAAAAACGTGTGAATAGGGCCATTCACACGAAGTATTCTAGTTGTTCTACTTGTACTAGATTGTAAATTAACACACCTAGGTATAATGACTTTTGCTTTTGCTCTCGAAAATCCTATAATGGTCTACATTGGTGAGAGTTGTTCGCAAAATTTTATTTATCATGTTGTCTGTTTAACTACTTTACATTAAGTTCTCCAGTGCAATTTTATTATATTTTTTATGGTGGTTGAGTACAATGTTTGTAACTATTATAACTGGAATGCTTTAAATCATTGTGAGATTTTCACTAAGCAGAAAGTAAGCATTTTGCAAGCATACATTGTAATTTTTACATGGAAATTGTACACAATGTAAACCACAGAACCGGATTTGAAGAAACCGATCGTCAACCGAAATCTTTTTATCGATCTCGTTATCGTAATTATAACAGACACTTCCGACAACAGCTGATGACAAAAATCGACCCCAATTCAAAAACGTAAATTGTGTACTTAAAACAATCACACATAGAAGTCTCCCACGCTAACCAAATTCGAACTTAAAACAGTTAATAGTACAGCATATTTTAGATTACCACTCACCCTCTAAAAGTGTCCAGTGCTCGTAACCTCTGCTGTATCGCTAGTTCCTTGTCTCCATACCTCAGCTTGCCAGTCCTCCTCACTCGTGACATGATCAGCTTTATGATGCCGTACAGGATCCATATTCCCAACAACACGCCTAGTAGCAGCAGTAGAGCTGGCGGAAAAGAAACTTTGGTTAACTGTAGTCAAATTGTTATAACATTTATCAACTGTTGACTATCCAGTTATTTCTCTTTATCAGTATTGGCCTCCAAACAATCAAAGACACATAATGGACTACCACTACATTGGCAAACAATTCTCAAAAACAATTCATTGTTGCAAACTGTGTTTGTTTTTAAACATTCTGTTCTGTCTGTATACTCCTTTTGTACTGCACTTTTACTTTGAAAATGCATAATTTGATAAACATAACAACACTACCCGGGTCCTCAAGTGTATACTCGAAATGTACCTAAAATAATAACGTTACCTACAAATTCTTAAACTTTTTAGTCACTTTCCTCGGAATCAAAAATGAAAATCTCCTAGTTAGTAGTAGTACGTAAGTACGCTCGCCAATAGTAACAGCTAAGTAAAAATAAAATAGTAAGTAGTTCCAGTAAACAAATGACTATACAAATTTTGGGAAGCAGATCTTATACCGGTACCTCCCGGTAGATACACCTAAAACCCATCCTCTACGTAACTCCATTAAAATTGTCCATTCACAGTTTTTAAAGCATTGTTACAGATCCAATCATTGCTGCTTTTAGTCCAAAAGTACCTATAACAAAGTTGGTAAAACCTTGATAACTTCCACGCCCTTGTCAATGAACTATTGTGGATTCAAATCAAACTGTTTATAGAAATCGACATTCAAAGCGGCCTTAAAAATCTTTATATGCAAAAATCTCTTTATTTCCATACATGGAGCCTGATGGCATTTAAATACCTGGACTTCCCAACCGGTTTCTGGGCCATGGTCAGCCCACTTGCAGTATGCAGATATCCAAGATCGATGGCAATAACAATAAAAATACTGAATTGATGAAGGCCTCCTTACTATTTGGTCATGCAAATGAGGTCTGTGAAGGCATTATGCAATACCGATCAGATAAAGGTTGGATTAAGATAGCGATATTGTGACAGATGGAAGACATTCCTTTTTTTGAGAGACATGATATTGTCTGTAGAAATAAAAACTTAGATCTACGCAGTAAGCTAAAGTAACACTAAATAATAGGCCTAAATAAATAACGTTTATCTTTGTTTTGTACTTTTGCATAAACAAATTAAACGAGAAGAAATGTTTAGCACCTAAATATACAATAAGAAAAAGACATGTAATGAAAACATTTTGGGCACTACATCTCCAGTTTATCATGACAATGACGTAACCACTCCACCTATCCGATAAAGATAATCCAAATTCATCTCATCGAAAACGTCCAGATAAAATAACTATATAACGATAAGCCATCTTATTTGCCACCAGTATTTGGAAGATACTCGAGGCAAGAAGAATTTTTAACATCAAAATGGATAAAATTGTCTTATGTGTGTTGTTACTAGTTGCTAGTGTGTTTGGTGAACCCAGGGTTGATCCCTTGGTGCTAATCAGTAGTCAAGGGTTAGTTATGGGTCATAGAGCGACCGATGGTGACTATTCCATGTTTCTGGGCGTGCCATACGCTAGAGTGGACGCTGCTGATCCGTTTGGTGTAAGTAGATTTTTAAGTGTGTAGATAAAGATAAGAATCTATGTGTTGCGAAATTTTCGAATAAAGAAAAATGCTCAAAAAAGCAAAAAGAGATAAATTAAAATGGTGCCAATTTAACAAAATATGTAATTTAACATAGTGCTCAGGAGGAAGTAATCAAATAAGGAAAAGATTTAATGCAATTACATGACCAATAGTATTCCCCAGAAAATACAATACGATAGCGCAATTGTGTTTAACCATGGTTACACTGTTTTGACTTGTCCTTCATAATGAGTTTAAAAAAGGAGTATATTCTTTATTTAAATTTTTATTACATTTGGCACTCTCGTCTAGGCGTCTTCACCAATAGTTCAATGTCAGACTGAGACTAGAAATAGGATTTCAAATAGAGAACGTTGTTATTTTATTCGTATTTGAATTCCGTGCGTGCCAGTACGTTTAATGAGAGTCTATGTTTGGGAACAGATAAAGCAAAGCGCACATCCGCGATACGTTATGAAAGTAAGCTATTAAAAACTCCTTAGCAGGTTTCGTGTTTGAATAATTAATTTAGATTATAGCTACATGATTTGGTACTGATATCATTACCCTGTATATTAAAGACTACTATAAACATTGCACTTAATTAGAGACTGAAAAACCTGTTTAAGTAGCGTTGGCACTTGAACCCGAGACGTTGTACTTGGTAGTATTTATCAAGTCAACCAATGAATTGGCTGAAGCTAATCGTACTCTTACTTATCCCTAACTAAACATTCATTTGTATTCTATAAGTAATCGTCTATTAATATTGCTCCGATAACCCTGGTGAGGTCGTCACCCCCAATGCAATGGAAAGTGTTTTATTTTTAATTAAAAAGCTATGTGTCATCTTATTTGTATCCAGCCGATATTCTTTGTTCAGTTTATTAAGTATCAATTTATCAATTTACTACACGATATTCATAAATGGTTAAGTTGTAAACAGGAAGATTCATTCCACAAATCACTATAGAATTTTACAAATAAATGTATTTTGTAAATTATTAATTTCCTGTATTTGCATAAGTATCCAATATTCTAGAAAACGATACTATTTGTGGCCATGACATTGCTAGCATTGCATTATTATTGGATGGCAAAACAACTTCAATAATACACAATGTTGAAAATAAGAGTCACCTAAAGGTATAATTCGGATAGTTTTGTTCAAATGCCTTGAATGATTACGTCACAATACTTATCATATTAACAGACAATGAGTGACAACATCTGGTGCATATCTTTGATCAGTTGTAATCAATACACAGATAAGTTTAAAGTCAACGGTCTTACAGATTGAAGTACAAGTAAATAACTCATAACAACAAAAAAGCTACATTGCGAAGAACCAATAAGTATTTATAAAATAACAAAGAGATGCATCTCTAAAGTAGGTAATCTCCAATTGAAAATACCAGTTATATGAAACGATTCCATTTAAACGAAATAGGTTTACCATTTTCTATTATCTGTCAAAAAATGTCTCGTGAAATTGTATCACAATTTTAATACAAAGCTTTTATTATATTTTTTCAGCCATCTCGAGAAATTCAACCTTTCGAAGAAATAATCTTCAATGCAAACGACGGCACAGTAAGATGCCCACAGCTGGGTGAGTCGAGCATTGACTGCCTTCGTCTGAATATCTACGTGCCTTTCAAGGCAAGTTCATCAAACCCACTGCCTGTACTAGTTTGGATACACGGTGGAAACTTCGTACGAGGCAGTGCAGGAGACTATGGTGTGAGGAACTTGGTCAGACATGACGTCGTAGTGGTCACTGTTAACTACCGCCTCGGTCCATATGGATTCATGTGCTTAGATACCCCTCGCGTGCCTGGCAATCAAGGCTTGAAAGATCAATACACAGCGCTTAACTGGATAAGAAGCAACATTGCCTCCTTTGGCGGTAATCCTTACAATGTTACCATATCTGGTCATGACGCTGGAGCCACATCAGTGCTCCTGCACATGTATGCAGACAATTTAAAACTTTTCAACAAAGTCATTGTTGAGAGTGGCACTCCACAGAGTGAAGGGATGTTTGTCAACTCTGACGAAAACATGGCTATCAAAATTGCTGAGCATTTGGGTGTCAACACAACTGATAGTAATGAAGCTCTAGAGTTCCTTATAAACTCCCCTCATAATCTTGTGGCAGGTGCCGCCCATGAACTGAACCTGCCATTAGGACCTTGTAAAGAGAAATCTTTCAGTGGTATTGAGAACTTTGTAGAAAACGATCCCTACGCTTTGACAAACGCAAGGAAAGTGAGAAACACGCCCGTACTGATTGGATACACGAGCCGCGAACGTGACTCGCTTAGCGCAGATTACTTTGACTCAGATCCATTTTACGAGAAATTGAAAAATAATTTTAATTTAAATGGACAACAGCTAGAAAACGCGGCTACTTTTGTTAGACGATTTTATATCGGAGATAATCCTGTTACTTCAGACGTTTCAACACAATTGCAGAATTTCGAATCAGATTTTGTTATCAACCATCCATCAGAGAGAATAATAACTAGATTGTTGGAAGAAAACGTTGGATCTGTCTACGAATATTTATTCAGCTACACTGGATCAACCAATGACGGTGCAGGACATTCATCAGAACTTAATTATCTATTCAACGATGGAAGCGGCAACATAGTCAGAAGTGAAGATGACCAATTGATCGCTGACCGCATTTCAACTTTGTGGACCAATTTCGTCAAATACGGGTATGTAATATAAACAAATCAATCCAATACATAATACAATGGCTACTTACATGAATTTTATTGATCAATTCACGTATTAGTGTGTTTTAAAACAAAATAAATGATAATGATCCCTTTCCCCTCTTGGAATGTGGAAACTAGACGACTCCGTATGTTTCGTATGATTACTAGTAGGTACTTTATCACACACTTAATACAATTTAAGTTAAAAAAACTAATTTAAATACTTAAGTTCCAGTCAATCTTTAATGACACCTATAAACATGCTATTCCAGAGACCCAACACCTCAAACGTCAGACTTGCTGCCTGTGAAGTGGACTCCAGTCACCATCTCCTCCAGGCCGACCATGGTCATTGACACAGACATCAGAATGGACAGCAGGGTGGAGAACCAAAGAATGGCATTCTGGGACCTCTTCTACTCTGTGTACGGCAGCTACAGCAACTTAGCTAGAGAGTGCTCCTTTACCGACTGTTGTTAGCGATCTTTATTTTATTGTTGCAAATATTTTATTTAAATTGCAAATTATAATATTATTTATTGTTATTGTTGTCACGTAAATAATTTTATTAAAGTTTTTTGAGTTTTGATTTTTTTGCCGAAAACGAATTTTAATACCTGCTTTTTTACAGATTAGGTATATTTATTGTGTTTCGTTGTGATAGGAATCGAGATTTTGCAAAGTCTCGGAATCCGTATCTAGAAATAATAAATTCTAAATTATATCAAAGACAAAACTCGGACGACATCCGGAAGTTATGGTATACTTATAATAACATCTCGATCTATCCACCAAGATAGTACCTTTTCTCTTAGAGATGCAATGCATAAAATAATGAAATAAAAATATTGATATTTAAATCTTACACAATGGGCTTTCAAGATTACAATCACTAACATTTGTTATTCTAAACCATCCTTTCACCGAGACGGTTTCAGTCGCACCTGCGAATAGAAATGTCACACAGACAATTTTTTCATAACGTCCATCAAACATTCCCATGTAAATCGGGATTATACTAGTATGAGTAGCATAATATACTTGCAGATACCAAAATGGTGTGGTTACATTACTATGCATACTTAAGGCGTGATCCAATGTTACACATTATTCCTAAGTTTACCTCAAACGACTATAGAGGTAAATGATACTGAGCCCGCTACTTCGTCCGCGTGAAATAGTGATTTACAGCTCCTCCCCCGTAGTTGATAGCATGATAATATGTAGCCTATATGTTGACCCAACCTGTTAGTAAAATTATTCATGCAAAATTTGAAGTAAAACCATGCAGCACTTTACGAGTTCATCGCAAACGTACATACAGACAAAAGCATTGTTTTAAAAAAATATTCGACGTACAGTTTTCACGTTACTACGATTTTATTATATGTATAGATATAGATAGATAAACTTCAAAAGCAGTTCAGTTAAACTTAAAGTTATAAAGAAACGAATAAAAATATCTCCCGTATACTACATACAGCATCAATATTCGCTTAGCACTTCACAATGGCGAGTCACTGGCTTCTTTCTAGGTCGTTCGTCTCCAGCGGATGATGCTCATCAAGACAAATCGACGGTACAAAGGATTTGGGCCAGTCTCCTCACACCCACGACAGTCCACTTAGGTTCACTTGATCGCGTGTCGTGATTTTTTCTTTTATTAACTGCTTCTAATACGGTGATCGCTTGTGCAGAAAATTGAGGATGCTCCAATAAATGTGGATGGATGTGTTTTGTGCAATTTTTGTCTTGAGATTCATAGTTTGGATAGAAATGGTATTTTGTATTGTTTGTAATAGCACAAGATTATGATGGATGCACGCTTTTTACCAGTTATGATATGAACTTTCGACGCAATAAAGGCGACTCTATAAATTTTTCCAAACTCAAAATAATACTTTGCCAAACTTGGGCATCTAACTTAAGGAAAGTACCTAAGCAGTAGCAATTGATAATTGCTTGACAAATTCTTCCACAAAGTCCCTATTATCATTATTGAACATTAATACCACAGATCGTGATGTGGTTTTCATACTTTCCTTGAAGATGGAACTAATCAAATATCGTTATGGCTTCTGTTATAACCTCACTTTCACTAAGAGGCCTATCGTCACCAATACTGTCATTAGTTACGCCATTTTCACAATTTTCTACAAGTTTTTTTAGTGCGTGACTGTTTCGATCTAACTTATCAATTTATTGTTTCTTATCTAATACTCTTATTTCTGCGGCTACAACTGTTTGTTGTTTTGCTTTCGTTTTCAAATTATTATTTGTGTGATAGAAATGTTCTTTAATATTTTTGTGGTTAAGTATGTACCTATTATTATTAAACTAAGTACAAATTGTATGCGTTCAATATCTGTAAGGCATTTGTTGATCTGAAACTTTTCTTCAATTTCTTAACAACGGACAAATATTGTCAAAATAATATAATATAATTATGGTTACTTGAATCTTATTGCCTATAACAATTACAATGACTTAATAAATAATTACGAAAGTAAATAATGGCTACTTCAAAATCGAGTAGGTACCAACATGTATTATCCTGATTGAACTGATTCACCTCACAATCGTACATAGTTGCTGTATTGGCCTTCAGTCAAGTATTTACATAGAGGAAAAGTAAAGGACATCTGCTAGATCAAACTAACAATGGTTGAACAGTAGAGTTAATAAATGATCCTTGGAAAAGTGAACACTGTCATATTCCGCATACTAAATAACACTGAATTTAAACCTAGCTCCGTCTGTGAGTGACTTATTAGGTACAAATGCAAATATTGTTTTATTCCTTTTTTATGGAATAAGCCGGTAAACGAGCAGACGAATCACCTGATGGTAAGCAATCGGCGCCACGCTTGGATATCTACCGGAAACACCAGAAGTGTTACTAGTGCTTCGGCTTTTGGGGATTAGGAATTTAAGGATTTTTCGGGATTCGGGGCTTGAGGAGAGTGGAGAGGGAGGTAATTGGGCCTCCGGTAACCTCACTCACACGAAACAACACAACGCAAGTGTTGTCTCACGCGCAAGCCTCAAAGAGCCATCAGACCACCACGGATGGGGCCCAATAGGGCTGATGCCAATTCGGAGTCTGACACTCCCTCCCATCTCACCCAGGCGGGAGAAGCCATTCGATGATTTTCCCCCCTTATAAAAATTGTTTTATTTCACGTCGGTTTTCTGTGAGGCCGTTGTATCAGTCCGGTCGTGCCGGCTCATTCGCGCCGAAGCATCTCCAACATTTCATGTTTTTTCAGTTTCCTTGTAAAGATAGATGCCATCACATAAAGTGTAATAATCCACTCAAACCAGCCGAAGATATAACATCGCATCACAATACAAGCTACCCGCAGATAAATACATCAACTTTCAAAGGAAAAGGCCAACCAGATGATAATATTGTATGTCAAGGGTTTCATACTGAATATTCTGTTACGTGTATTCAGACAAATATATTTTGTTCTCTGCAATACAATAACATCTGTAGCGTAATATAAATGAGACCTAACATAGATAAGTAAATATATCAATAAGCCTATGTATTGATGTAGATAGGAGCTGTCCAAACCGAGGCTAGGTTCCGAACCAAGGCTTGAGTAAAGTATTACTGAATAAACCTCTTCAAGAAGAAAAAAAGGAGATTCTCAATTCGACCTGTCTGTATGTATGTATGTTTGTGCGCGATTATCTCGATATTGGATGAACCGATTTTTATGCGGTTTTCAGAAAAGTGTTAGTTACACTAAGGAGAAAGTTTTAGTATATTAATTAACTTACTGACTCAAAAAATAGAGGGTTGGCGAAGGTTTTTTTAAACGTAGTTTATGAAAAATTTTTTTATTCAACTGTACTGGCTACATGTTTACAGTTTTTTTTTTTTTTTTTTTAAACGTTGCCCCACACTAGGATTATCTCCTGTGTCGTGGGTGCGTTTACAAACATACAAGTTCACATACACAATAACACCCAGACCCGAAACTACAATTTGTGGATCACACAAAGTGTTGTTCCGTGCGGGAATCGGACCCGCGACACGTTGCACGGCAGCCGGTTGCCCAGCCACCGCACCAACCGTGCTGTCAAAGTTCACCAGATGGTAAGCAGTTATCATAACTAATCGATTGCATGCTACCAGTGCCAACCTTGTAAAATTCCGTAATGTGTGTCTTCTGATGTTTGTGTATTATTATATACCTACTCTGTATTGTTAAGTGTAAGAGTAGTTAGAATTAATATAGTAAAAAAGACTTACGCAAATAAATGTCGACTGGATCTCTAACGGTACGGATGTCGCAGCCCTCCGTGGAAGCGTTCAGCCTGTAGACACCAAACTCTCCCATTTCCGGCCTCAGCTGACATAGTAGTCCTCTGCAAAAAACATACCATTATAACGCCATATACAGTCAATAAGATGTATAAAACATCAGTTATGATAATTTTGTGGCGCAGCTATATTGGATCGTGTTGAATCAAACCAGCATTACTCATAATTATCAGGTCAACAGGCTTAAGTTACAAAGAATTCATCTCCTGCTATCGTAAGCACGAGCCTGCAGACGGCGAGCATTGGTAGCTCGTCGCCCAACTAGAACCAGACCCGAGCGTACAGCGCGTCGGATTCCACGCTCGCCTCAAAGAGCCATCAGACCATTATGGATGGGGCCCAATAGTACTGATGCCGATACCAAGCCGCGGAGAACGTAAAAGGTTATCGGGGCTCCGGCTCGACGTGCAGGAGTCGGAACGGGGTGGCTTTTAGTCAGTAAGAGTCTGGTACTCCATGCCACCTCACCCAGGCGAGAGAAATCATTCGATGATTTTCCCCCTTAAAAAAAGAATTCATAATATAATGCTATATTGCTATATTGAATTGAATGCATAAAACCCCTCTGTCCTGGTATCCAAATTGAAAAAGTGAAACGTAATAGCCCACAGTGATACAATTTAAAGATCTAAATATCAAGCTATAGAAGAAAATAAGAAATCGTTTTGCAAATTACATTCTAAGGAAATTATACTCGGAGATAACAAGCTACACACGGCCTCGCGTGGTTAGTCTCCACTCATCATCCAATTTGTGCTAAACAATACAAGTCACTGCACCTTTACAAATTATTCAAAATTGCACGCAATTTGATAATTTTGTAGCTTCCAATGTGTTTTTTATTTATTTTTATTTATTTATTTATTTTATTTATTTATTACAGTCACAACGGTTGATAACAAAAACCAATTAAAGTAACTGGACACATTAATAAAATAAACGATGAAATAATAAAACTAGAACAAAACATACACAACGAACCAGAAGAGTAAAACTTATTTAAAAAATGGTAGCATTCATATGTTCCTCTCGCAGTACTTCAGGCATTCCGATAAAATTTCCTTCCATCCATCCGCAAACAGATCACTTGGATTGGAATCCAAGAGACCATTGAGCGCGGCCAGAGTGCGAGGAATCGGTGCTTTAGCACGTGCTACGGTAATCGGAATGTATTCGGACATATTTCTTCTGGTTTCACACAAAGATAGGCGCTGTTTTCATCATTTATCAATAATAATTTCAAGGAAAAAATTACTTACTGAAAATTAAAAATTTCCTAATTGGAAAAAACAAATAGAATGAAAGCGGTGACAATGTAGTAATCTACCTGAGTATTCTTCTAATCCCTAACTCTTATGATCCAATAGGTCAGCCAGACTGTAATTTTACAGTATAGTCTCATCTGAGAGGATCATCATATATGTATGTATAGGATTAGGACTTTCTGCTCATTCCAGGGATCGATGTATTCACCCAATGATCGGTAGTTGTGGGTACACAAAACACTAAAGAACCGAGGCATATATCCTGTGGTGTTGTAAACGCACACACCTCAGGTATCGTAATATCCTATTCTTGACTAATTACAAATGTTTTGGTCGACGAGCTAAGTTTACGAACGCTTTGAGAAACTTCTTATTTGATTACAGTTTAAAAGATAGAAGAAAATTTTATCATTCGATTTTCCAGTTATGTTATAAGTTCATACGTAACATAACTTCACGCCTTTATGCCCAAAGGGGTAGGTTGAGGTGCACTTTTCAGCACTTAATGCCACTGTACAATGTAACACCCGCTTTTCACTATTTTATGTTATGAGTCCCAGTTCCATGTAATAGGGGGTGAGCCTTGTCGCGGAGAACCTAACGGGTAACCGAGGCTCCGACTCGACGTGCAGGAGAAGGAACGGGTGGTTTTTAGTCAGTAAGAGTCTGACACTCCCTCCCGCCTCACCCAGGCGGGAGCAGTCATCCGATGATTTTCCCCCCTTAAAAAAAAAAATTGCCATATACCGGGCACGTTCCCAGACTCCATACTACTACTGAGATTTTTTGAAAAAACCCAGTAATACTTTGCCTGACCCGAGAATCGACCAATTGCAACCACTCGGCCAACGGGGCAGTCATTGCATTTGGTGTTTCATAGTTATTAGTTCATAGTTCATAATAATGCAAAACGCGCTTTTTGTCAAGCACCATTTCATTAATTCCAGGCTTATATATTCTATTACTGAATTACGTAATACTCTCCCTATTCCTCGGCTTATGTATCTTAAAAAAAAAAAAATTACCGTAAATTGTATAGAACCCTTTGACAGATCAATAGAGGTAATCAGTCCTATTCTGAAACAGATTCAACTTAATGGACAATGAATGTAAAACAAATAACTCGTCCATCGTTCATAATCGTTAGTAATTGTAAGCTTTCCCACGATTGACAGGCTATTAAACAAATTGCTAATAGGTACCTATTCAGTGTTAGTTTTTTCTCTTACTCCTAGGTCAAGCAGTTTCTTAGTTATGTTACATTTTATCGAGAGCACAAGTTTCCCACGTTTTCTTTTAGCGTTCATTGCTATCTGCTAATTATGATGCAATTTTATGTTGCAGGTATGTGTTGTCTTGTGGGGTATTTTAGAATTATATACGCCTAACTACAGTGGTCGTTTGCAGCAGGATTATCGCTTTTTTGTTCTGAGATGTCAGTAGATAGAATTTTGATACTGTTTCCATACACACTGTGTCAAAATTCTATCTCTATATATTACCCAAATTACATAGAGTAATTTAGGACATTGATGCCTAAACATTTGAAGAAGGTAACTGCAATAACATTCACAATACTAATATTGTAAGCGAAAAAAAGGCTGTAATAAAATTTTTTTTTGTATTTAGATAGCCTTGTTTCTCACAGTAAAATAAACATACGTAAAATAAATTCAAATTCATTTATTTGCAAGAAATACATATTTTACAAAGTTATACCATATAGCCTAAAAGTCATTGTATTCTGCCTGCAAGCAAGCGTACAAAATATTGTCATTCCAAATTAAAGTCAGCATTGTAAATTATATAATTATACATAATAATGCAATTATACATAATATACGTCATTATGCATAATAAATGACTGCACGGTTAGTGCGGTGGCTGGGCAACCGGCTGCCGAGCAACGTGTCGCGGGTTCGATTACCACACGGAACAACACTTTGTGTGATCCACAAATTGTTGTTTCAGGTCTGGGTGTCATGTGTATGTAAACTTGTGTGTTTGTAAACGCACTCACGAAACAGGAGAAAATCCTAGTGAGGGCAACGGTAAAAAAATACAATGTTTGAGTTCATATCATAGTCATAGACATATTACATTTTGATCGTAGATACATACAATTACAATTTCGATAATTCTTAAGTCTCAAGTAACAGGTCTAGGAGTAGGAACAGGTATAACAGGTATAACCTTCCAGAGTAAACATGAAACAAGTTTTGATAATGAGATGTCAATGTCAATATTTAGACATGCATTTACTCGGGACTTGGTACTGTTGTATGTGGTCTGTGTGCACTGTGAGACCTTTATTTGGTTATTTAAAAGATAGTTTATATGTAGACTATCTGCATACAACACATTTCGAATCTTCTATAGTTTTATATAAGAAGTTCAATCTTAATAGTTTTTTTTTTATAGTATAAGCCGGTAAACCTAATGGCAATCGGCGCCGCCCATGGACACCCGGAACACCAGAGGTGTTACAAGTTACAAGTGCGTTACCGGTCATTTGTGGATTAGGAATTTGAAGATTGTTGGAGATTGGACAGATTGGGGAAGGCGCTAATCGGGCCTCCAGTACCTCACTTACACGACGAAATACAATGCGAGTTTGGTTTCACGTCGGTTTTCTGTGAGGCCGTGGTATCACTCCGGTCGAGCCGGCCCATTCGTGTCGAAGCATGGCTCTTCCACATTTAGAAAAGTGCTGTACAGTTTTGCACTAAATTTTAATCAAACATCTTTTGAGTATGATTTAACCGACAAAAAGTGTGTTACAATAAAATTGTGCTGCACTTTTGGGAAATGAAAGCCAACAAAATAAGGATTTTTTTTAAGGGGGGAAAATCATCGAATGACTGCTCCCGCCTGGGTGAGGCGGGAGGGAGTGTCAGACTCTTACTGACTAAAAACCACCTCGTTCCTTCTCCTGCACGTCGAGCCGGAGCACCGATAACCCGTTAGGTTCTCCGCGACAACAAAATAATGATACGAAACACAATTAACCCATTTAATTTAATTAGAATCATGTATTTTTAGAGGATGTATATCCAGCATCATCATAAGTCCGTAGCCATGTTAGTCAGCTGAAGATATAGTTCAGCCTCTCCTACGTTTTTAAAAGCTAGATGTCATGTAAACAGTATCTCACATATTATGTATGTAAAGATTGCATGCCACTTTCTTAATGCTGTATGCAGTGTATATAATGTGCGAAAGTAATTGGTCACGTACGTTTAGGCGACCATTACATAAATGAAGAGACTTTGGCAGGACAATCGTGATTATTGTGTAATGTGTAAACAAACTTACGCTTTTACTTTATAACATAACATTATAACATCACGCATTTTATCCCCGAAGAGGTAGGCAGAGGTGCACACAGAAGTGAAACACCCACTTTTCAATATTTATGTTATGACTCCCATCATCCCATATAATAGGGGGTGAGACGATTGCCATAATACCAAGCCCATTTCCATACTCCGTGCTACTACTGAAATTTTAAAAACCCAGTAATACTTTGCCCGACCCGTGGAATCGAACCCGAGACCCCTTGCCCAGCAGTCGCACTTGCGACCACTCGGCCAACGAGGCAGTCTTTTACTTTATCTGTGCAAAATAATTTGTTAGTTTTGGTTGGTGAACTACACAGATAAATAAAATTAAATTATCTGTTTGTAATATTGAAGTTACCGTTTTTTACTACGTGCATATGAATATACATACGACACTCAATACAAAAAAAAATTTTTGCCTGTCTGTCTGTTTGTACTGGCTAATCTCTGAAATGGCGGGGCCGATTTTGACCGGAGTTTCAGTGGCAGGTAGCTGATTTACTAAGGATTATTTTATTTTGGAAAACTGAATAAAAAGTTATGTCCTAAAACTCATATTTTACACGGACGAAGTCGCGGTTAACAGCTAGTATTTATGATAGTATTTATGTATTTATGCCGCTTATTTTTTATTTTTGTTTAAACATTGCCCCATATTATGATTTTCTCCTGTGTCGTGGGTGCGTTTACAAACATACAAGTTCACATACACAATGACACCCAGACCCGAAACAACAACTTGTGGATCACACAACAATTTGTCGATCACACAAATAGTTGTTACGTGCGGGAATCGAACCCGCGACACGTTACGCGACAGCCGATTGCCTAGCCACCGCACCAACCGTGCAGCCAAAATGAAGTCTCTTTAGTGTATCAGACAAAGATTTAACGGCGTATCATGGCCATTAGTGATTCCTATACTAAGGAGCCTGGAACATTATCCGGTAGGTGTATGACAACAAGCTCTAACTACATTGGGCTACCATAAGTAGGGAAAAGTATGGTTTTGCGAGTAAAACTTTCATCTTCATCCCTTATTAAATATAGAACCTGTTAAAGGATAAAGAAGCCCATTTTAAATACTCTATCAACAGCCAGCATAGACATGGACAGTTCAAAAAGGAATATCATTGAACTATTGAAAATGTTGACCCAATAGTATTTATCCCATCCAGTAATTTTGCCTATTTTTTTATGTCATAACTTCATAAGCCGATAAACGAGCTGACGGACCACCTGATGGTAAGCAATCGGCGTCGCCCATGGACACCTGCAACACCAGAGGCGTTACAAGTGCGTTACCGGCCTTTTGGGCAATTAGGAGTTTGAGGATCGTTGGAGATTCAGGAATTGGGGAGATTGGGGAAGGGGATGGTAATTGCGCCTCAAGTATCCTCACTCACACGACGAAACACAACGCAAGTGTTGCTTCACGTCGGTTTTCTGTGAGGCCGTGATATCACTTCGGTCGAGCCGGCCCATTCGTGCCGAAGCATGGTTCTTCCACACTTAAGCCTATTGTGAAGGCTAAGCTTGTTACACGAATTACGAAATACTCAAAAACTTTGTTATACCTATTTAGAAGTCTACATTATCCATATGTACTTACGAAGTATCTCCAGCAGTGACATATTGTTCTGAAGAGTTGGCGTACACCCTCCATGTGGACCGCCGGGCTGTGCCCGTCACCCAGACCGTCTCCTCACCAGCCGAAATGTTCCTCTGCAACTTGAATGGACACTGCAACAAAATGTTATAAAACTTATTGAAGTTATGTCGTTGGCGGTAGGTAGGAAACGATATAACTCAAATTCTTTTTGTATCCTTCTAATATTATAAATGCGAAAATAAAATGATTCAAATGCTGTTTTTAAGACTTTTGGGACTCCAAATACCTACATAACGGGCCTTTATCCCCGAAGGGGTTATAGTGGTGCATATTACGGCCACTGTACAATGTAACACCCACTTTACACGATATATGTTATGAGTCCCGTGTAATAGGGGGTGAGCCTATTGCCATATACCAGGCACAATTTTAGACCCCATGCTACAACTGAGATTTTTGAAATAACCCAGTTCCTAATACTTTGACAAGACTACAAATAACAAAGTTCAAATAACTCCTATTACTTATTATACTCTTTGGTTCAAATGACACAACAAAACATAACATACATACATACATACATACATACATACATACATACATAACTTCACGCCTGTCTCCCATGGGGGTAGGCAGAGACTAAGGAACGCCAATTACTACGATTCTTACATACCTCTTACAACATAGTTATAAAATAACAATATGACATAACAAAAAGAGGAAATGTTTATAATTTTTAAATACGTAAGTGACCTTCATTGTGTCGAAAAGTATTTGTCATTTAAACATTAACTACTTAATGTGCGAATTCACCATTGAAAGTATTCACGTAACTTAACAATAAAGCATTTAAGTGGTTACTTTGTTATTTAAGAGGCATCTAATTTATTCGTGTTAAGTTTTATTGGCTTGACATACGTGTTTTCAATAAGAATAAACCCATAATACTCCCCCAATACTCCCATCCTACAATACCAAAATACTTCCATCAACCCACGATTCGCTTAGCTCATATTATAAATTCGTAAGTTGGGAATATGGGAGGATAGATTTTTATCATACTTTTTAATATCACAATTTTTGAATCTTTATATATATAATTCTACTGTACGTGTGTATGTCATTGAACTTCTCCTAAATGGCTTGACCGATTTAAATGAATTTTTCTTTACGCGTTTGAGTGGCGCTTCGGATGGTTTAGATCCACAAATCAGCCCGGCAGATGACGCTGCAGTCGGTGTCTAGGTTAGTTATCCTAAACGGCTGAACTAATTTGAATGAATTTTTGTTTATACATTCAAGTGGATATGCAGGACAACGTCTGTCGGGTTAGTAGTATTTTTATAATACTCAAATACTCCAAAATGACTAAACTAATGACGATGAGATAGGTACAGAATAGGAAACTAGACAACTTTAATGAACATAACATCACGCCTTTTATCCCCGAAGGGATAGGCAAAGGTGCACATTATGCCACTGTACAATGTAACACCCACTTTTAACTATTTATGTTATGAGTCCCATGTAATAGGGGGTGACTATTATATATAATATATCATATATAATTATAATATATAATAACCACTTTAATGAACTGACTACTTTTTCATATTTATATAGGCATATTTTTTCCATTTTATAATACTTCTTTTTACTAACTATCATCATAATAAATATTAAGTACCTACCCAATGATCCTGTTACAAACAAACCAACAGTTCTAACTCAGCTTCCATAAGCCATTTGATATTTTTATCAACAAATATTTTTCCTGCGATTCATTTACATATTTTAGTTAAAAATGCATTCCATTAACAAAACTCATTGCTTTATCTTGAAGAAAAAATAAGTACAACAGCTCAACAACGACTGTGGCACAACTTTCTCACAATAACAAAAGAACTTATTAAAGTTACTATGAGTCATAGGTTTGTACCGCATGTGGGTGCAATGTGAGTAACGCCACCCTTTTAATATGCAATCGTTTTAAAACTTATTTGTACAATACAATAACCGTCTCTATGTGACATTGAATCAATCAATTTTCAACTTTATCATAAAGTATCTAAGCTTTATTGACTAAAGAAGTTTTAGATAAGTTGATGAGCTATTACAAAGATGTTCTTCTTCTGGTGACACACAGATGTGCAACTAAAAAAGACAATTTTAATATATTCAACGATTAATAACGCTATAATGAAAATATGTATAACCAATCAAAATCATAGGATAGTCCAACGATATTAAATAGGCATGTTTAATTAAATAAACGCATTATGAAATACATAGGTACTTATAATTCCCAGTTAATGACGTTTCATTTCCTTAGCTATACATCCGGGCACAGACTAACTGACTGCCAGTTACCTATTTATAATTTTCTTAATATTCAATCTTAACTAATACAACTTGGCTAGTCTTTTTTTTAAAGAGAAGCAAATCATCAAGTGCATTATTCCAGCCTTGGGTGAAGCGATAGGGAGTGTCAACTGTCAGACTCTTACTGACTAAAACCACCCCGTTCCAACTCCTGCGCTTTGAGCCGGCTACAAGCCGGAGCCCCGACAACCCGTTAAGTCTTATGCGGCTCCGAACTTAGTCTGAACATTCATTTAATACATAGTTCGCTAACTTGAGTTTTCGCGTCGCTTATTATTCGCTACTTCGCCAGTAAATCACGTGGAGCGGTAATTTCTCTAGCGCTAGCGGCGCACGCGTCGAATACTTGACACACTTTGTGCAATAACATCAAGATTTTCAATGATTACTGCTCATTTACATTATTGTTATGTGATTATTGTAATATTATTGGTGTTTCCTTAAACAGGTGGTTTTATTAGACGATACAAGTTGTTTTAGTTAAAGAGAAAGCCTAGGAAGTATGGGATTTTTACTTCACTAAAAGTAATTTTTAGATTCTTATCTTTTTTATAGTTTTATGTTTTTCTTTTTCCTATAAAACGGGAATGGGAAACCATTTGCACGGGTGATTTTGATAGTACCTATATATAAAATATAACCTAAGTTACGAGTACCTCGAGACTGCCTCGTAAGCCGAGTGGTCGCTAGTGCGATTCGGGGCAAGGGGTCTCAGCTTCGATATCCAGGTTGGGTAAAGTACTACAGTGCTAAAAAAATCTCAGTAGTGGCACGGAGTCTGGAATTGTGCCCGATTTATGGCAATAGGCTCACTCCCTGTGAGAGTGATAACATGGGACTCAAAACATAAATAGTGAAAAGTAGATGTTACATTGTACAGTGTCATTAAGTGCCATAATGTGCACCTCTGCCCACCCCTTCGGGGATGAAGGGCGTGATGTTATGTTATGTCTAAGTTACGAGTTATGAACTTACTTAAACTGTTTAAAAAAATCAACTACAATCGTGATTACCCGTATAATTACTTACCTAGCTACATGTTATGGTATACAGCACCGTACCGATAGTAATATACGGGTAATATGCTCGGGCCAGGAAATACCCATGACAAGTTTGCAATCGATAGAAGGCATTGATGTTTGGCTAATAAACATACGTGACGTCATGCCTTTAGTAGCCCGAGGGGTAGGCAGAGGTGAGAACAGAAGCATAAAAATGGACTTGCTCGGTTTTTAAATGCCGTTTTCGACAGTTTTGTAATAATTCAACCCCTATTACATAGTCTTTAATATATAGGTAGGTAAGTATATAAGGTATATAATTCTCTGCCACGGCTTGAATGGGAGGTATTGTATTTGAAGATTATAATTAATTATAATAGTAGTTATAAATTATTGATTATGAGTCATTTATTTTTTTATACAAAAATATTTACGTATTAATTTGTATTGATTTATTGGCATAAAACCATCCCGTGTTGCCGCACTGCATCATCTCTCAAAACGCGGGTGCCAGCAACAGTGTATGATGGGGCATCATACACTGTTGCCATTCTTATCGAGACAATGGTAGATTGAAAGAAGAAGAGAAAGAAGAATGGCAACAGTGTATGACGGGGCGTTCGAGAACGAGACAGCACGCAAACCAAAATCTATATAGGCTGACTCGATAATCAAATCAACTCGACTCCGGTTGGTTGGGCAACTGACTGCCGTGCAACGTCTTGTGGGTTCGATTCCCGCACGGAACAACTCTTTGTGTGATCCACAGATTGTTGTTCCGGGTCTGAGTGTCATGTGTATGTGAACTTGTATGTTTGTAAATGCACCCACGACACAAGAGAAAATCCTAGGGTGAGGCAATGTATGTTTTAGAAAAATACCTACACAAATACTAAACTTACACTTACCACATTATACGCGGTAATTTTTCTTTAAGAAAACGTGGTTCTTAACACTAGCGTACCATTATAAATAATAGGAAACATTGGTCTCATTGTAATAGAATTATTTTAACAACAAACATTTACGTCATCTGAGTTTTTTTTAAGTATTTTATCATCACCTACATACGCTACATACTGCTAGGTATTTGGCTAAAATTATATCCTATTCATGTTGCGGAAAAATTACATTAAAATTTGAATGCATGTATTTCCCATAAAATTAATGTTCAATTCAAATGACAAGGAAAATAATTGTATTCTTAATAACTTTAATATAATCACGTTTTAAATACAGCCATGACATCTGTGGTAACTACAGATACATAATAAATAGAAATATCATATGGCAATGGAATGATTTTATGGGATGATTTTTCTGACTAAAGATGATACTTAAGCTGAAATGGATGATAGACTATTTTTCCCTTTGACTACATGGGCAACAATCAATAATGAAAGTGCGTATATTATAAAACAGCTCTATCTTGTCCTTCGATGGTTCTCAAGCCAATATTTGCTCATAGATAAGGCGTAGTACATAATGATGAGACAAATAAACTAATTAATAACTATCTAATGTTCATAATAGGCCGATTAACACGACATCGATAACAAATAATCGCCTGGGAAATTGTTAAGTCGTGTGTACACGAATGACAAAAAAGTATCTACAAAAAATATCTGCGCTACAGTCGACGCACTCCCATAAATAGCGTTTTTATCATTTATGTACATTATACATGATTTATTTATGAAAGACAGTGATAGATAGGCGATTTACACTGTCAACGATTAACACTGTTGTGTGATTAAGTAAGGAAATGTACGTAATTTCAACACTTTTAATATACAAGTAGGAATTAACATGTTTTTATTGAAATTTTAACCAGTAGTCAGTGATGAAAAAACGTTTTAAGAAGTGTCGGAGCATTTTTGCATTTACCCGCTATCTATAGCCATCCGCCAGCGGCTTTGTCCACGTTACCAATTGGAACAAAACGTTATTTACCTATTTTTACATAATAACAGTCTATGACTATTTATGTCAAGTTTCATTTAGATTCGTGCAGCAACTTTTGCTTGAGAGAGTGACAAAAATTCATCTCACATACGATGAACTTCATTGAACATTAAATTCTAAAATAAAATTTAAATGGTGAAGACTAAAGTCTATTTTTGTGTGTAATATAGGGTATATTCATAAAAAAATAGGTTTACCTAAAAACTTACTGTGTGGTATAATGAGGTACCTACTGTGGTTTACTTCATAGAAGTTGAGTGACCTAAAGTATCTACCAAGAATAAGAAAATATATCAGTACCTATGTTACAAAACAAATCGACATCAATACCCATTGAGAACATTACAAAATTAAAAATAAAGGTCTATTATACAAAATGATAACTCTATACAAAAATTAATCTCGTACCTAATTCAAGATTTTGCTTTATTCTAAAAAAATACATTATAATTTGTAATGCACGTAAAACGTAATAAGTGTACATAAGTCAATTTACCATTACATAAGTACCTGTGTGGGTAACCTAGATTTTGGAACAATATTAATGTAGCGAGAAATTGGAAAAGAAAAAAGTACTTTAGAATTCCTTTATTAAAGTTCATTACGCAATGAACACAAAGTATACACTGCTATGTTTAATATTCATTCCGCATTTAAAAATTGCGTAAAATGTAGTAGACAATAGGTCTGATGCACATTGTTTTTAACGCATTCCTGACATAGATATAGAGAGTGACTTAGAAGTATTTATGTTAATAGTACGTATTACGCATAACATTGATTCGGATTAGATAAAGGTATCTCAAGACCACAATAAAGCTAAAAAAGAAAATTATTCATCTCCTTTGTTTGTGTATAAAAAAAATACTTAAAGCTTTTTTCTATGGCGTAAGCCGATAAACGAGCAGACGGATCACCTGATGGTAAGCAATCGGCGTCGCCCATGGTCACCTGGAACACCAGAGGCGTTACAAGTGCGTTACCGGCCTTTTGGGGATTAGGAGTTTGAGATCGAGCCGCACAATTAAGTTTGTTTTAGTGTATATGCTTTTTCGGGATAAAAAGTACCCAGTATAATAATGACCAGCATATCGAAGTATAATTAACTACCTATACCCAGTTTCATCGCAATCGGACTGGGAGTAACACCCTCTACTATTTATTATATTTTAATATAGCGACCCGCCCCGGCTTCGCACGGGTGCAATATGCATGTATTATACATACAAACCTTCCTTAAGAATCACTCTATCTATTAAAAAAAACGCATCAAAATCCGTTGCGTAGTTTTAAAGATCTAAGCATACATACGGACATACAGCGAAAGCGACTTTGTTTTATACTATGTATTGATTATTAATGTACAGAATTTACATTCTTACAGTTATTATATGTAGATAGATATAGATGTACAAACAGTTGTTCATTAACAATATTAAAAAAACAAAAGATATCTTTAGATCAACACATTTGTTTAAGAATCTTTCACTGCATTTTTTAATGTTGTTGTATTATTTTTTATCCGCATCAATATGCGGTTAAAAAGTTAACACTAATTACAATACTGGCCAGTAACTTCCGATAACACTAATAAAACTTCCTTAATTTAAATTCTTTGTTTATATATTTATTGAATGTCGAACTACAATCAAAATAAATGCTTCGGTCGGAACTTCAATACAGGAAAATCCAGAAACAGAACTCGTTTTAAAACCACAGCAGCAAAGATAAATCAAAGTTAGTCACTGGTTTGAATACAATAGCTGGTTTTAAAAGGAAATCTTTATGACTTAATAATATTTGAAGCAGCTGTGTAATTTACATACTTATATTTGACAGTAGGTACTTACTTATAGAATTGTTTCATTAAATATCATTATTTATAATATTGCTTACCCGAAAACAATCATCGGAAACGCTGTAAACTCCGACATCGATCTCTGACGAGCCCACCATGTACGCCTCATCCATCTTCAGGGCTGTCATGTTCAGCCCTTCGAAGACCAGAACTCCAGGATCCTCCAACCATGACCTGATCACTTCCCGGTACCACTGCCAAGTGTCGTTCGAAACACCCACGGAATCATTCATTTTTAACACAGTCCTTTAAGACTTCTTCAAGTAGAGAAGTAGTCGAAATTGTTTACTATAAATCGTTTATCATTTTTAGTACGACGACGGTTTTAAAGTTGCGCGCGTCTGACCGGCTTTGTCGATCGTGTGTGACTGAGGCGCGCGGCGTCGGCGTCGCGTCTTCATACAAGAGCATATAATTTATAATAAGCTTTCTGCAACGAGATCTGGATATGTTCATAACAATTGAATGAAAGTGCGACAAGTTGTACTGGCAGTGCGTTTACCTGCGAGCTGTGCAACCTTCTCATTGGTTGCTTGTTTTTATTATTAACAGTTGTATCTATTGATTTATTTAATACGATCTCTATATTGTAGGTTTGGTCTAACAAAGAAATGCGATTCTTTCATCACTTTGTAAAGAAAAGACATATTTTCTTCTAAGTTTTAATTAAATATATAAGTTTTAATTAAATATCATTATTATGTCAATGACAACATTAATTTCAAACAATTAATCTTATTATATTTTTCTTTCTTTTTCAATGAAATTTCAAAAATGTAATGGATTAGAATATATTACTATTACAATCTAATTATTTGCTAAACATATCACATTATATTTTTAATTTCTTTTTAATGTATTTTGCATGCACACTGTTACTGAAATTGTAAGTATTATGAAAAGCAAGAAATAAAAGACTTTTTATTTATTATTGTAGGTTTGGTGTAACAAAGAAATGTGAATTTTTAATACTTTGTAAAGAAAAGAGATATTTTCTTCTAAGTAGACAATAAGTATACATACCTCTTTGTTTTTTTCCTCATTTTGTAAATGACGGTTACCTATATAATTTCAGCATGTTGTATGACGTGTTTACATTCTTAATATGTTATTACATTACATACATACTTACAAAACTGCGCTGGATGGTTGGTGCAGTGGCTGGGTGATTGGCTGCTGTACAACGTGTCGCGTTTTTTTTTTGTCCAGAGTCATGAAGTTCGGCGGTGTTTTCACCCTCCTGCCTCAGAAAGCACGAAAGGCGCCTGACCTCTCTCCGGTCGTGTCTACTGCCATCACATCGGGTTCAAAGAGTACTCACACACTTGTGCATCTTATTATATCCTACGTAGTCGGCGAGTCTGTTTGATTTGCCACAATGATCGAGCTATGAATGGGCCGGTTCAACCGGAGTAATAGGTACCACGGCCTCACAAAAAACCGACGTGAAGTAACGCTTGCTTTGTGTTTCGTCGTGTGAGTCGGGTTACCAGAGGCCTGATTACCAATCTCTTCAATCTCTCCAATTTCTGAATCCCCAACGATCCTCAAATTCCCCAAAAGGAGGGGTTACCCTCCATCTATCCCTCCATCTGTTACAAGTCCGTTAGGTTAGGACTTGTAACAGATGTCCTTGGGCGACGCCGATTGCTCACCAGCATGTGATCCGTATTCTAGTTTATCGGCTTATGCCAAAAAAAGGACAGACGACAAAAAACTTTTTTTTTTCAAAATTACAGGACCAACGACCAAAGTCCAAGGTCAGTGCTCTCAGCCAAATAAGGCAGGATCTCATTAACAGGTCCGACCTTCGATTCTTGTTACCACTCAAAACCTGCATGGTAGGTAGTCAGTAAACTTGAATGATTCCCTTCATTTCCGTTGCACAATTTCTATATAGTTTAGACCTCCGTTTCGTAACTAAGGGAGATTTTCCCATTAGAACTAGTTAGTCTAGTATTAGGTACTCGAAAAGTTAGGTAGGTAGGTACTTTGGCTTTCCAGAAATTATCTTATTTTAGGTACCTACAAAAATATGCAAGGTCCTAGAACTAAAGTGGTTGTTTATAATGCTATTAAACTGTCAAACACCAAGCGGTCACCGGTGACCGCAACCTATTGTTCTATAATTGTGTCTACAAAACGGGTACTCGACGAGTTAATAAAGGCTTGAGAGATTGTTAATAAATCTAAATAATCTTGTAGATATTCATCTAAACAAAAACATTCTGTAAAAAAATAGACAAGTCTCGATAGAGCCGCTTGTTCATCTCTAAAAAGTAATGAAATCTTGTAGACAAAGTCAAGTGCCAAGTCTAAAGTTCCTTACTGTGATTTCTATATTATTCTAGGTAGTTAAATTACATGGGACCCATGACTTAAACAGTTAAAAGTGGGTGTTACATTGTACAGTGGCATTAAGTGCCGTAATGTGCACCTCTGGCTACCCCTTCGGGGATAAAAAGGCGTGATGTTCTGATGTTATGTATAGATAGTTAATGTTTGACTTGGTCATAGAAGGGTACATAAGGGGCAAAACGAGGTGCAAGACACCATTGCACCAATCTGTTGCCAGAACCTGTTAATTCGATCCACCTTTTTCCTAGTGCCAATTTTCCATCTTCAATGGGTTCACCGGCCACGTCACATAACATTTACTATAGCAATAAAGAAATCGAAATAATAAAGATTTCATAACATATCTGGGACTAACCATGTGTGAAGTTTTTTACATAAAGAAAAAGAGAGTGCTAACTTAAGTACCTCTACTTATCTCTTTTAAGAATAATAGACATAATTGTATGCACTGCGTGCGTATTGCGTATATTGTCCCTAAATTTGGTACTTGCTAACTAGTCAAATTCAATACTCTTTTAGAACTGTCAAAAACGACAGAGACTATGAATTTTGTACGAGATTGTGTAAACATTGTGACGTCACGTTTTTTTAACGTCAAACAGAATACTTATTTCTTAAAAAATTGCTGGAAATATACTAAAATTAAGTTGGTCATATTGGAATTCATGAAAGTGTGATATTTTTTTGTTTTTATTGTACTGAACAGTCGAAATAAATTATTTTTGAATAAGGAAAGTACCTAATTGATAAGATACGTAACAATACCACAATTCAATTGTCTATAAAAAATACGCATTTAAGTTGCAATGTATGATGAAATAATTACTTTTTTTGTAAATAATAAACAAGCCATTGTCTTTAAGTAATATAGATAAAACACAATAATAAATAGATTGGCCTACTTGATAGAAAATGAGCACAAATAAGCTGAAATTTATTACGTATCTTAATAGAAATTATTAGGTCGACGGTAGGTGTGTTCCCTCGATTCATATTTCCCTTGTGTCTTTGTTTATTATTTAGAGCTTTTGTCTGAGCACTAGGCGATAAGTTTCAATTATTCAGGTTCTTTTGATAACGTTGTTTATGTCATTATCGAGAGGGATAAACAAAGGCGTAACTAAGAATTGTACATTCACCTTCCAAAAAATATGTTATAACATTTCAAGTGCAATACACTGAGAACAATTCCGTACTCCGTACATTATTGAGGCAGTCGACATGTCAACTTGTAAACAGGGTAATATCTCCTTTACCCCCAAAATCAGAGCTAAAATTCAACATTTATCTAGGGTTGGAAAAATCGACTCAGTCAAGTATAATTAGCTAGTGATTTGCAAATGATCAACGGATAAAAAGTTGTGAATATGAAATAATCATAGACAATTACAAAATCATTGTAATTCATCTAATTTCATATATTAACAGCAACTGATACATAGACAGACAGGATGCTACAACCAATTTCAGATAGATAACTAAGCTATTAAAACTTCATCGTCCAATTATATTTTTCATAGCCGATACAAGTGCGTCATAAATCTTAATAATGCAACTATCGTAAATGTGCTCACGCTTTCAAAATCAGGTATACAACATAATATCACGCTTGCTTTTTATTATTAGGTAAGCTGGAATGTGTAAAGAAAGGCCAACGTAAGATAAGTAAAATTAGTGCTCTTTCTTTCGCAAAGAGGTTGTATTAGAGATGCCTATGTATGTTAAATTGCGCAAGACCCTAAAAATCTTGAAAAGCTTGTGGTTGTTGGTCGAGTTAACGGGAAAAGATCTCGTGGTCGCTCACCTACCCGGTACTTAGATGCCGTAAAAAAACCTCACCGGCCTGACAGTTCTACAAGTCATAAAGACCGCAGAGGGCAGGAGCGTTTGGAGGAGGGTTGTGCATGAAGTGACGTGTGCATCAGACTAGACACAGATTACTGAAGAGTAATGAACAACAATTAAATGCAACATATTTTTCGCCAATTATGGTATGTTATGATATCAGTATTTATATCACACAATATAAGATTAAGACACCCCTGAAATCATTCATATCGGTAGTCGGAAACCCCTTCATGCAACGTTAGCATCAAACCTAAGATCCTACGCTATGCAAAGAATTAAAATGATGACAAAAATATGAAGTTTGTATATTTACAAACTAGTTGTCAATGACATAAATACAAAGACGTTAAAATTGAGAATGTACATAATTTTAAGGTTATAATATAAAACAGAATTATTTACTTACGTAAAATTTCGGATGACAATGACTTGGGTGTCTTTATTATCTAGTTCACCGTGTCATTTTCAACTTCACGTTTTGACCTACCAAGTTTAAATATAAACTTAAAACTTAGCTTGTAGTGGATACATTTAGGTACTAACTCGATGATCGAGAAGCCAAATGTATGCCTAAATTAACTAAAAACTGCGGTTTACTCACGTGAATATACCTACTGAGAAAAGCTGAAAAAATAAGTGAGCAGCGCGACGTCGCCGAGACCGCGCACGCTGCTCAAGAGGAAGAACCCCTCTGTGGTTCGAAACTAGTAGAGCTTTTCTCAGTGTATTCACGTGAGAACCTCGCAGTTTTTACTTGATTTAGTATGTCTCACGATAGTTATTATAAAAACATAGGTATGTCTTCCGAAAATTAAGTATCCATCGATCCATTCGGAATTCTAGTCAAAGTGTCAATGAGCTACTTGCTTTTCCAAATTAGCCAATTTCTTACATCTTTTACCGTCAGGTAAGGGCCTTAAAAACATAATTATTTTAACCATAAACCCTTTGGTGAGTACTTAACACATTAAACGCCGTGGGGGTCACCGGTGACCGACGTTAGTGGAGGATTTTTCTTCATCAGGTTTATATTGGCAGTCAAAGGCTTAATAAACTGTCAAACACCAAGCGGTCACCGGTGACCGTAACCTATTGTTCTATAATTGTGTCTATAATGACGGTACTCGACGAGATAAGCGTAAAAGATGTGAATAAAAAAATGCAGTAAATAAAGATCATATTTTTCAAAGCACGATCAAGGATCATCCGGTCCATTTCAAGACCGGTCAAGTAAAGAAACCTGTCAGTTATCCTTCTAACAGGCTATTAACTGAATAACTGGTTAGATTAGATCTAATTCGCCTGTCAAGAAAACGTCTCCTTGATATGGCAGTTGAAATTCCTTATTAGAAGCCCGCCTAGTGCCTAGTGCATCTAGAGTTCTAAACGGTGTCAATGGCATTACTATTCTAAGTACTTAGCCCTAAAAACTAATAAATGAGAAGAATTTACCCGATTTGTGTCTAAATTAAGCTTTAATTAGATAGAAAAATATTTATTTAAGTAACACTGAGAACTTGTAAATTATATTACGGAACATTTTCGCACAAATACCTCTATAAACTCCACACTTTTTTTAAATTATTAACTGCCTCGTTGGCCGAGTGGTCGCAAGTGCGACTGCTAAACAAGAGGTCTCGGGTTCTATTCCCGGGACGGGCAAAGTATTACTGGGTTTTTAAAAAAAATCTCAGTAGTAGGCTACTACTAGTAGCACGGTGTCTGGAATTGTGCCCGGTATATGGCAATAGGCTCACCCCCTATTACATGGTACTCATAACATAAATAGTGAAAAGTGGGTGTTACTGTGTGCACCTCTGCCTACCCCTTTCGGGGATAAAAGGCGTGATGTTATGTTTTTTTAATTTGCAAGAAACCACATTTTGGCAACCCCCAAAGGCATGAAGTGTACATACACCTATACAAAGCACATTCATTGAAAAATTAAGCAAGGCCAGCAAATAACAATAATATAACATTAACAACAATAATCAACAAACTAAAAATCTTAACAACATCATAAAACGCACTATGTATATAAAGAGCAATTATCCTCATCCATTAACACTAACGAACATTACAAATATGTCAGCGTGTTTGTTTGTCACGCTTGAATGCTAGCATTTGATCCGTATTTCATGAATTTTAACTAAGATATAGATGATGACAGTTATAACTAATTGACCGTTTTCGTGGGATAAAAAAGTAACAGTATTTGTTATTCCAGAATATTATACTAAAAGAATATTCTACCTGCTCCAAATTTGATTGAAGATTGTAAATTACATATTTTTTGTGATGGGGGTAAACCAATACTTGTAAAACTACGAGTTGATGGTAAGCAATTAGCGTCACCCCACGAACATTAACAACATATAACACCAAGAGGAGTTACAATTGCGTTGCCGGCCTTTAGGGCAGAGGGATTGAGCCTCCGAAAATATCATTTAGTGATGACCAAAATTGGGTGACCTCTACCCAACCTACCTTATATAAAGCTGAAGAGTTTGTCTAATTGTTAGTTTGAATATGCTAATATCTGAAAATACTGGTTCAATTGGATTTTTTGTTGTTTTGGGTAATCAGCAGGTTATAAAACATCAAGCGACGGCCAATAAGAGCAGAGCGGGTGAATCCGCGCGAATAAAAACAAAAGATGAGGTATTACATTCATCAGCATTATAAGATCCACGGTATAATACTAGTATGCACGTACATTTTAGCACATGATTACCGCTACTCCTTTTAGTTCGCAGGTCAATTATATGCACGACTATCATTTTGGCCTTAGCAGAGGAAACGAAATACTTGAGACGTTAGTTCGATGGTCATTTGGTTGTATATCACACGCGTTAGAGTATATTATGTTTTAGTTTTAACTTATCTGTGGTCATGAATGTCGTCGTTTTGCTGTATCTGTGCTCCTTGGTTCTGGCTGAGGATACTGGACAACCAGCTGGGTTGATGGCAGATTGTGAGATTTTGTTCTTTTCTCTGTTTTTAAACAAGTGTGGTTTCAGTTAGTTTATGGTGTTAAGTGTTAGTTTATAAAATAGGTCTTAAAGTTAAGAAAGATTTTATCATGTTTTGGTGCTTAAAATTATCTATGATACTTTATTTGCATAAGGATAAAATTGTACTTTATTCATGCAGCGCGTTTTTTAAGCGACATTTGTTTTTTATTGTCCGTTTTTCAATGGATGTGTTATCTTCGTAAAAGCACAAAACCGTCACAAAAAGGGAGTCGACAGAGCTGTAACTTAAATATTAATATTTTGAACTTGTTAGTTCAGATTCCACCACGATCCCACTTAATGAAGAACAATTTTGTGGGAATAGGATTTTTTATAACTTGTAATGACTTCAGGTCCAGGGATGAACAAATCGACTCTTCTATCAGAGAAGACGAAGAAATCTCTGTCCGTGATAGTGGTGTACCCATCTAGTGGCTTTCTGGGGCACAGGGAGACACGATGTAGCCTGAGTGCCGAGGGAGCCGCCTGTGCAGCTAAACATATACCGATAAACGATCTCAAGAAGAGGAAGACATTGGTAAATAATTACATTCTTCAAGCCTCTAAATAATAAGGATGGGATACATAACAATATTACGCCTTACTGAGGTTGCAGACAGCTTTAAGTGTTATTGGGGTGACGGCTCAAAGCAGGAGTTAAGCCGGGATGGATTGTAGTCAGCAAGAGTCTGATAATTTTCCCTCATCAAAAAAAAAGATATATTTTACAAGTTAATTCAATTTTTCGTTAGTTATGCAACAAGTACCTTCTAAACTTGGGGTAAGTCGATTACTATACGCCGAACATAATACTCTATGCTGATACTGATATTCGGAAACTACCATAGTAATATCAAATCTGGGGATTCATCCTGAGACTTCTAACCAACGATCACATGTAAGAGACCTCTAGCATAGCAGACACTAGATTAGAATTCATATATCAAAAAAGATTCCGAAGATTAGAAGATAGAATCTCCTTTTTTGAAGTCGATACAAAATCACAAGGTAGCACTTCAATCAATATTACCTACCTACTTAAATGCAGGCCAGACTTAAGTACGTACTTATGACCTAGGCAATACGGCTTTGATATCAAATTGCCTACAACAAAATCGAAATCAATAGGCAATCTCAGACGGCGGCCGTGACACTATTCAGTTAGACTAACTAATAGGCAATACTCATTGACGATCAAGGCTCTAGTTTATAGTAAATTACATAATTCCGTTAGTGTTACCGAGTTCAATGCTGGTTTGAGCCGGCTTCACCTGTTATTGATTTATAGGTACTTCTATGCTAATGTTATAAAGAGGAAACATTTGTGTTATTGCTTGTAGGTATACCTATTATTAAGTATTAACACAAAAAGATTTCAAAACATGACTTACAAACATGGGTTAGGTACCCATTAAAGAAATAGCCCAGGTCTTTGTTCTACGCTCGAAGTCACGGGCAGAAGATACATTAACCCGTTGAAAATTGCTGAAAATCATCCCCTTTTGTTCATACACAAGTAGTCTCTAAACATAGGAAATACCCGAGATTCAAAGATCCATCAGACCACCACCGATGGGTCCCAACAGGGTCGATGCCGATTCGGAGTCGCGGAGAACCTAACGGGTTACCGGGGCTCCGGCTCGACGTGCAGGAGAAGGAACGGGGTGGTTTTTAGTCAGTAAGAGTCGGACACTCCCTCTCGCCTTACCCAGGCGGAGAAGCCATTCGATGATTTTCCCCCCTTAAAAAAAAACATTGGAAATAAGGTCCATAATGTAGTTAGTGGAGAGCGGTCACCGGTGACGCTTGGGGATATACGGGTAGTTGCTAGCTTACACTTCGCCGTGTAGTGGCGGTTTATTGTTACCTCTATTCTTTCCACGAATATCGTAGTAGACGATCTATACTTGATAAGAGACCGACTAGCGAGCCGATTTAATAAAACTGAACTTTTTGAACTGCAGTCTTTAATCCGCATATCAAGAGCGAGGATTGTGACAAACCGACTGCACGGGTGGTGACCGCCTATGGCTATTTGTGTAATCCACAATTTGTTGTTTCGGGTCTGGGTGTCATTTGTAGAGGTATATGAACTTGTATGTTTGTAAACGCACCCACGACACAGGAAAAATCATAGTAGATCCAACGTTGTTAAAAAAACTACCTTCTTCCATAAACATAACATCACGCCTTTTATCTTCGAAGGGGTAGGCAGAAGTGAACATTATGCCACTGTATAATGTAACACCCTCTTCTCACTATTTATGTTATTGGCTTGCCATATACCGGGCACAATTCCAGACCCCGTGCTACTACTGATATTTTTTTTAAAAACTCAGTAATACTTTACCCAACCCGGGAATCGAACCCGAGACCCCTTGCCCGGCAGTCGCACTTACGACTACTCGGCCAACGAGGCACTCTTCTTATTTAAAAGAAACCCATAGTCCAACAGGCATTGTATACAATAAAGATACAAATGTATATATCCATTTTATTCCAAGTATGTAAATTCACTTACAAGTTTCCAGTTTAAAAACACAAACTTCAAAACGTGAAAACACGTCGGTATCCGGCCAAATATTTGCTGATTCTGAACAAACAAACAAAATGTGAAATATGTTATTGACAAATTCAATGACGAAATGTACCTACGTAAAGGAAGTTTTGCCCTTCCCAAATAACATTTACACATTATACTTCCATTCATTATGACTCGTTGGCCGAGTGGTCGCAAGTGCTACTGCCGGGCAAGGGGTCTCGGGTTCGATTCTCGGGTCGGGCATAGTATTACTGGGTGTTTAAAAAAATCTCAGTAGTAGCACGGAGTCTGGAGTTGGGCTCGGTATATGCCAATAATGCCAATAGGAGGGCCTATTGCCATATACCGGACATGACACCCCTAATACATGGGACTCATAACATAAATAGTGAAATGTGGGTGTAACATTGTACAATGCCATTAACTGTCGTAATGTGCACCTCTGCCTACCCCATCGAGGATAAAAAGGCGTCATGTTATGTTATGTTACATTATACATTTAAAAGTTATATTGGTCTAATTGAAATTTTTCTTTAACTTCGTCTTTTGCAGGTGATGATTAGCGGATACATGGACAGCACGTTCTCTCCAGTAGTGCGCACGTTACTGGCAATGTACCTCGGCCTAGGACGAAACGTCATCGTCCTGGAGATATTCCCCATTCTAGTGAGATCTTATCCTATGTGAGTAACTGAGTAATATTATTTTCCTTATATTCCTCGAGTATGCCTAGTAGTAGGTCATAAATATAACAATCATTTTATGTATCCGAGCCGTATTATCCCTAAAGTGAACTAGGCAAGAGCGCCAGAGTGGCAAGTAGGTACTGTTTCACTGGTTCACTGAAGCCGACCAGTCAGAGCGCTTGATACTATTACGTTACAAATGTGATAGTTATTCGTGTTTGGTACTCAGAGGCCTTAGTATCAGTTTGTTATACGTTAAAAGTACCTAATCGAAACGAGACTGCATTCGGCGCTCTGATTGGTTGGTTCATTGGAGCCGGCCAATCAGAGGCCTTAGTACGAGTATGTTTTACGTTTAAAGTATTCGAAACGAGAACGCGTTCGGCACACTGATTGGCCGGCGCCAATGAACCAACCAATCAGAGCGCCGAAAGCGTACTCGTTACGATTACTTTAAACGTAAAAGAAACTCGTACTAAGGCCTCAGAGCGCCGAACGTATACTTTTAACGTAAAAAAAAACTCGTACTAAAGCCTCTGATTGGCCGGCGTCAATGAACCAATCAATCAGACCATTTAATCAAAGAGACAAGGAAAACACCACATTTAGTACCTAAACTGTAAGCTGCCAATTAGTCAGTATCGTGGAACAAATGTAGTGTTATGCAACTGCGATTTCATTAAGGACCACACCATAAATGAAGCGAGCAGAACACGCAATTAATCTACAAACAGGTTGGAGGCTGATTTTCAGAATGTGAAACCTGTTTTATGAGACTTTTTATTCTACTTACTCGGCACAGACTTTCCGTTTGTGCTGACGAAGATAAATGTTAGAGAGTTAGTAAATTTTATTTTTATAAATCAAATTATGCCCATTTCTTATGGGTTAAGCTGGTAAGCGAGCACGGATCACCTGATTGTAAGTAATCGGCGCCAACGATGGACACCCGAAACACCAGAAGTGTTACAAGTGCGTCCGGCCTTTTGAATTAGGAATTTAAGGATTATTGGGGATTCGGGGATTTGGGAGATTGGGGAGGGGGGTAATTGGGCTTCCGGTAATACTTACTCACACAACGAAACACAACGCAACAGTTATTCACGTCGATTTTCTTTGACGCCGTATGATCACTCCGGTCGAGCTGACCCATTCGTGCCAAAGCATGGCCGTCCCGAAATATGACCCGACCATGAGTATGTATGGGTTGGTAAAAATGAATCTATAAACCAGACTATGTAATCACACGTAACTACTTAGATTATCAAGTGGTATAACGGAGGTACTTAAATAAATACTTATATATGATATACGTATAAAATATTGTGGAATTGTAGCTATGACTTCCGATGAACACACCAAATTGCATTATTCATTATAGTCGAACTTGCTTTTGATTAAGACAAGGTTACTTAATGAAAGAATAATTTACTTTTATATTAAGTAAAGCAAGGTATTGTGTAAAACTGGCCTGGGTGCTTACTCTAGAAACCAATCTCAATGTATGTAGGTAGTTTCAATCTAATAAAGTTAACCTCAGTAATTATTCAATGTCAAAACAATACCACTATAGAACCCCTATCGTAGCTGTTAAAATAGCGTTCAGAGTACAGAATCTGAAGCCAAACTCAATACCATTTAGTGTCATTAAATATCCATGTATTATGGATGCAATGGGCGCTAGTGTTGCAACTCAAGAGTACGAAATTTCACAATACTAATGTCAATCGATTGGAATTGGATTCAACAGTAAGCCTTAGTAGTCTACAAATTAAATGATTTCGTCTAAATATTAAAATAGCTTTCTTACTTTTGAAGAAGAATATAGGGTACCTAGCATCGGTCCTTAATCCGAATAAAAGTCAACCTTTATAAGCCAACCCTATTTCGCTATACTCTTCAAGGAAATAAATAATCCAATTAAGATAATTATGACAAAACCTGTACCTATGTGGCTACTGATAAATCATATAAACATAAACATGCATAATTTCCTGCACACTTGATGCTGTGGTTAAGTTTCTAATTTATAAATATAACATTTATATTCCCATGAGTTCTTAATGAGCTGACAGTAAAGCAATGCTATAGTGGAAGCGAATGGCGACTAGCAATCCAATACATTCGCGCGCAAACTTTAGATCTTTAGGTACTGAATTAGATTTAGACACATGAGTATTCGATGGATTCTTTATACAGCAGTACAATAAAGTTGTCAAACAATAACTACCAACAATATTTATTGCATAGTAGAGAGCCATGGCCACTTATTTGTGTTTAAATGTATATGGCCACCAAAGTTTACCTTAGTTTATTTTCTATTCCTATACTTACCTTCTTATTCCTACTTACTATACTTTTTCTTCGTCAAGCTCCTGTTACCGAGCTGATTATCTATCTATCTATATAAATAAAAATGAATTTCCGTTCGTTGGTCTCGCCAAAACTTGAGAACGACTGAACCGATTTGGCTTCAAATGTTCGTGGGAGTCCAGGGAAGGTTTAAAAGGTGAGTCTAAAGTCAAAAGTCAAAGCATTTTTTTCAATTAAACCATAATTTGGTACTTTTGAAACGTCAACAAATATAAAATAAATAATAGTCTGTCAGTCAATCCGTCAGTGAAGTAAGGTGAAGCTAGGTGCTCATTCCAAAATGTAGATTCGAATGGAGAAGAACGAGCAAGAAACTCCATTCTCTTTTTAAAAAACAATTTTAGGCGGTACGAAGTTTGACGGGTCAACTAGTGATAATATAAATTATACAGTGACAGTATTATTAAAACTACTCGCTCACTATGAGAACAATTCTTTACTCTATACAAGTAAACATATGTGGTATCTCCCGGTGGTGCGCACCATTTTTTATCTCCGTTTATGCACGCCAAAGGAAACACGTAATTTGCTGTCTCGACGCACCCGAGACTTGTATTGACATGGATGGATATGTATATTTAAACGCAGCTACAGAACATAATTTTTAAATGACGGTTTTTTATGAGAATCCATTGGTTTAATGCTCGGTCGGTAAAAAGTGTTTTTTTTTTCACCCCATCATGGCATCATGTATCACCAAATTGGTGACAAATGTTTGTAGTTTTAGTAAGTAGTCGTCATTATACAGACCTACGTTTTGCCGCAACCGAAAATCAGACATACAGAGGCCTACCTCGTACAAATCATCTGATATAAATCCTCAAAATTAGTTTTTACGAAAGTAGTCTCTAAACATGGGAAATAAGGTCTATAGTGGTAGTAGGGGGATCTTGGCGATTGATCAACTAAGGGAGACCCCTTCTATGCCTAACGCGACTGCAAAATCTCGGGTCCTATCGATCCTATTGTCCTAATTTATATTCGGTTTTAAATTTCTTATCTTCTTCACATTTCCATAGAGCTGCCCGCATCACGAAGCCGCTGGGCAACCTACTAGGAGAGTTCCTGGCCTCGCTGACCTCTCGAGGTCTGTCTTCGAAGAAATTGGAGCTGGTGGGAGGGAGCCTGGGCGCCCACATCGCGTCGTACGCAGCCGACACGTATAAACTACTGACCGGCCGACGACCCGCTCGACTTACAGGTTTATCTCATCTTACTTGTATCTGGAAAGAAAGCTTTTGTTAGTTTCTATACAGTGCCTTTAGCCAAACGCCACTTTAGCGCTTATCTACAGAGAGAGTAAAAAACTAAATGTATGGGGATAACAGTGACAAGTGTCAAAATTTACGTCAATTCCATATAATTTGGTTTTCTATTCTACAAGTAGATAAGCGATAAATGGCGTTTGGCTACAGCTGCTGCTGGTTACAAAAAGAACGCTCCCGGAACACTGACAAAAAGAAATTGTTTTTACAATTTTGATAGTTTTTTGTTTTCGTGTTATTCATGCAACATCAGCCTTGAGCAGTTGATTACAACTATTTATTATTACATTAAAGAAACATTTAATTCCTTACTTAAAAAAAAAAAAAAAACTTTTTTTTACCACCACCTTCGGCCTTTTTGGGGGCGCGGCGTTCCGTTTACATCCTGTATAGGAACATAGAAATAAATAAAAAGGATACTTATAAAAGACCTACGTTACACACGAAAGAAATGCAAAGTAACTTTTGTTCATTAGGTCAATAAATAAGGCAATCAGGGAGGCACTTGTATATCACAGGATTCCTCCCTATTTGCAGAATATTGTTGGGGCTTACCTGCGCGACCGGCATATTCGTTTTGTGGGCCGGGACGGTAACGTTCAGCGGAGGCAGATTACGTGCGGAGTTCCACAGGGATCCGTACTGGGTCCTTTATTGTGGAACCTCGCCTACGATACGGTCCTGCGTGCTGAACTTCCCGCTGGTGTTCATGTGGTTTGCTATGCAGATGACACTCTGGTAATGGCCAGCGGGGAGGAGGACTTCGAGGAGGCCATCCGGCTTTCTGAGCTCGGGGTAGCAAAAGTCGTGGCCTCAATTCGAGGACTGGGTCTGGAAATAGCGCCTAACAAAACTGAGGCACTATGGTTCCATAAGCTGCCGAGAACCAGAGAGCCACCCAGTTCGTCGGTATTAGTTAAAGATGCGCAAGTTCAGGTAGGCCGATACATAAAGTATCTAGGTCTAACATTAGATGGTCGGTGGGGCTTCGAAGAGCATTTCGAACGCCTGGTCCCCCGATTTGAAAAGGCAGTGGGTGCTTTGCATAGACTGCTGCCTAACATCGGGGGACCTCGTGAAGAAGTTCGCCGTCTCTACGCGGGTGTCGTGCGATCGATGGTCCTTTATGGAGCGCCTGTTTGGTCAGCTCGACTGTCAGGCGTCCGACGCTGTAGAGCGAAAATTTATCGATTGCAGCGGAAAATGGCCATCCGTATCGCACGAGGGTACCGAACGGTGTCTTTTGAGGCGGCGACTCTCCTGGCTCGCTTTCCGCCATTGGACATACTAGCGGATATGGACGCAAAGATCTACGATCAAATCCGTACTGTCCGCCGAAATGGCGGTAGAGTGCCAGGAGTGGCGTTCGTTAGGCTGAGGCGGCAGGAAAGGCGACACGCGCTCGAGCGGTGGCGTGAGCGGCTACAACAGCCGGAGGTCTCACGTAAGCGCGTTGTCGAAGCCATTCTGCCGCACTTCGAAGCCTGGCTGAAAAGAGAGGAGCGCGTCTCCTACAGGCTCACTCAGGTGCTAACCGGGCATGGTTGCTTCGGTGAGTACCTGAACAGGATTAGGCGTGAGGCCACGGCAAATTGCCACCACTCGAGGAGTGCCCAGCGTGGGCTTCTGAGCGGCAGGTCCTGGTTGCCAAGATCGGGCAAGGCTTGTCTCTGCCAGCAGTAATTAAGGCTATGTTGGCAGAGACAGAAAACTGGAGGGCAGTGGCCTCCTTTTGTGAGACTGTTATGTCCCAAAAGGAGGCTGCTGAGCGGAATCGCGAGAGAGCCGATCCTGCTCGTAGAAGGCGTCGAAGACGCAACTGCCATGACGCCTAACACGCCGCAATCCCGCTTGTATGAAATGCAGGCGGACCTTAGGGGCCACGGGCGCACAGAGTGGGGACTCTAGGTGCCTATCTAGTGGCCTCAGGGAGTGGTCACGTGCTGCCGTGCAAAGTGATGATCAAGGGACACGCTCGTCTCCCTAGGGATGTGCTGTATCAGGCGTTGCACCGTGGGGGCTCCGGAGCAGGTCTCTTCAGAGGACCCGGTGCCCCTTACAGGTGCTGAGGGTGGCCACCGGGGTGGTTTTAGTGAGGTAAGAATCCCACCCTCCCTAGTCTTAAGGTAGGATGAAATCAAACATTTTGAAATTTTAATTTTTTGCTGCACGGTTGGTGCGGTGGCTGGGCAATCGGCTGCCGTGCAACGTATCGTGGGTTTCTATTCCCGCACGGAATAACTCTTTGTGTGGTCCACAGATTGTTTTCTGGGTCTGGGTGCCATGTGTATGTGAATTTGTATGTTTGTAAACGCACTCACAACACAGGAGAAAATCATAGAGTGGGGCAACATTTAAAAAAAAATATTGGAAGTCAAAGTACCTACCACTTGTTGCATACTCAATAAAATCTCATCTTCAGTATACTAAAGCTCGACTAGATACATAGTATTTAACTAGTAGAACCAGTATAAAACCGACCTGTTTATCCAGGACTGGACCCAGCCGGTCCTTGCTTCCGCAACGTACCGCCCACGTCCCGACTGCACGCTGGCGCAGCTGACAGAGTCGACGTCTTGCATACAAACATCGACGGGTTTGGCATACCCGACCGGCTAGGACATGTTGACTTTTATGCTAATGGAGGTAAGCAATTTAGGAACCTATTTACCGACTACATATAGATTAGGTTTTTAAAAATTCTCAGTAGTAGCATATAGTCTGAAATTATGCCCGCTATATGGCAATAGGTTCACCCCCTATTACATGGGACTCATGACATAAATAGTGAAAAGTGGTTGTTATATGTACAGTAGCATTAAGTGATATAATGTGCACCTCTGACTACCCCTTCGAGGATAAAATGCGTGATGTTATATTATATTAATTTCAGGTGAATACCAACCATACTTAAAGGGCGACTTCATAATGCCGTGCTTCCAGTTATGCAGTCACGTTCGATCAGTATTCTACTGGTACCTATCCTACAGCAACCCCGACAAATTCATCGCAGTGCAATGCGACTCAGTCGCAGATGCAAGACATGGCAACTGTTACGAAGGAACTCTAAGGACTAATGCTTTAGGTCCTAATACGAACTTTAGTAAAACTGGGGTGTTCTATTTACCGACTAATGCTAAGTCGCCTTATTATTTAGGATTGAACGGCTTGAAGAAGAGGAAGTACGGTGTCAATGACTATCTTATGACCCCCGCACCTGATGAAGACATAACGATTTAAAATGTTATATTTAGACTTATGAGTACAATATGGATTATGTCTATTAAGTAAGGTGTGTCTGTCAATTTGATTAGATATTCGCACTTCTTTTTTAGCGATGTACGTACGTAGGTACTGAACGAAACATATCTTGTGTTCATCACGTCGCGTGTAGATCACGTCTGATCGAAGGAATTTATGGTTAGCCAAAAACCACTGTCTTTAATATTTATATTATGATACAGTATTGATAAAAAATATTGTATTCATGTGTATTTATATCGATTATAAAGTCGAAAATTGCCCACCATTTTAGTACCTGAATTTTATAGATAGCATGCTATGCGTGCGCATGATTGGAATATGTCAAAATCATATATAGGTAATAACTTTGTAATAAATCTTGAAGGACGCACTAAAAAATTACCTTTGAATCTCACTACATTTAGAAGTTTCACTAGAATAAAATCAAAGTGTAAATCGTTTGATCTTTATTGTACAACAAATAAGGTTAATTTTTATATGTTTTTCATAGTTGTTCAATAAATAAATATTGTTTTGTGTGTAAATGAACAGTTGTTAAGAACTAAGAGTGATCTGATGAATGATTGTGACCTTTATTCTACAAGATGTAAGGTATATTTTTAGGTGAAATATAATAAAACCAATAAAATAATACAAGAGCAATTTTATTGTAAATTTCATCACAATATCATTAACAACAACTAGTTATTATGTCCCAGTTAGGCCGACAGAGCTTCGGTACAAAAACTATCTACGCAGGTATGTACATTACGCTTAGTTCCGTCGAAAACCGTTGCAACTGCAACATGGATACTAAATATTATGATATAAAAACACTACTACGAAATTCGTGTATTACATTTAATTGATTACCTTACTTACTGGCTGATTTCAAAACTTCATTCTCAAAAAAATCGCCCGTACACGATATTTGCGCAAACAAATGTGAATAAAAAATAATATCATTATCAGTAGTATTGTAAAAATATATCTTAAATACATCGGTCGTTATTACATTTTATTTTTTTCCAATAAATAGTTAATCTATTAAAATAACCTATTATACAAAGCGTTGTAGAATAGACGACGAAACCTTATGGATATTGGTTCAAGTCATAGAGGAGTACTTTTGAAGATAGGGAAAAAAATATTGTTTAAAAAATTTGATTTGCGCCTCGCATAATTTTATTCAAAAGTATAAAAACTTTGCCCTATTCCTTAGCGTGAACCAACACCTTTAAGGTTAAGTATTTATTCTATAACACCCTGTAATTAATAACAATCAAATAACACAGATATACGAATAGTAAAGCGTTATATTTCATTGAAACCAAGCGAAAGTAAGGACGAGCACGGCCAACACTCCGTTCAGATCTTTAAATAATATTCTATAAAAAATAATGTTTCTAAATTATCTGTGCCGTGTATATGTACCATAGACAGGCTGTTTAACGTTAGGATCGGTATATAACTAAGGGAAAATGCGTCATAGTGCCAGAACACACAACCATATTATGTAGAACTAGCACAGTCAAACAAAACCATAGTGAATCATACACCTAAACTTTCCTCAGGAACCTCACTATCCATTAGTGAAAACTGTACAAAAATATGTTTAGTAGGTTTTGAGGTTATCCCGCACATAAGTACATAGATACAGATAAGGAACTTTTTGGTATAATATAAAGACAGAATAGATAGAAATTGTATCAATACATAGTATAAAACAAAGTCGCTTTCGCTGTATGTCCGTATGTATGCTTAGATCTTTAAAACTACGCAACGGATTTTGATGCGGTTTTTTTTAATAGATAGAGTGATTCTTAAGGAAGGTTTGTATGTATATAAATATTGCACCCGTGCGAAGCCGGGGCGGGTCGCTAGTAAACAATATAATATTCAACGTTGCTCAGTTAACCAATATTGCGTTACATAGTCTAGTTACATTAAGTGTGGCGCATTTCCCGTCAGATACAAACCGACCGTTAATTAATTAATTTTAGGCAACACACAAGCACCAAACGCAACTTATATATAATAAAAGCGTTAAAAGTAATTCTAAAAATATGTTTATTGGAATGTGACTATAACAATAGATGCCAATGTGCAATTTTAAACAGGTACCTTATATAAAAACTAATTATTATACGATATTATATAAAATGGAGTAAAAATGTATTATGTATCAAAATGGATATATAAATAGGAATTACTATATAGGCCAAGATTGTTGTGACGTGTTTTTAAACCAACCATAAGGGAAGAACTACGTCTTACTAATTCTACCGTAAGTTGTCATACTCACGCCGTCCTTCTCACTCTATTTACTCACAATATAAGGATATAATAGATTTATTAAAGAATCGATGCAACAGTCATCGATTCTTTAGGTAGGTATCTGTGTTCGGGAGTGGAGACCGCGTGTCGTAAGATTTAGACACCACTGACAAACTGTAAAGGAAAACATCGTGAGGAAACCTGGGCTTATAACTTCTAATTATAAGTTTGAAATCACTAACCCACATTGGGCAAGCGTGGTGATTAATGCTCATACGTTTATCGTATGTATAATATTTTTTTTTATATTCGATGGGCCCACGTTTGACCACTATCTCGCATGGTGGTAACCGATAATGCGGTCTACGATGGAGCATGTGTTCCCTTAAGCAATCTATTCACTCGGGCCTTGAAGACACCCAGGTAGACCCTTCAGGAAATACAGACTCTGGCAATGAATCCTGTGTGATGTGATGACCGCGTCTAAGGAAACCGCACTTGACTGCATGGTGCAGTGGCAGGGCAACCGGCTGCCGTGCAACGTGTCGCGGGTTCGATTCCCGCACGGAACAACACCTTGCGTGATCCACAAACTGTTGTTTCGGGGCTGGGTGTCATGTGTATGTGAACCTGTATGTTTGTAAACGCACTCACGATACAGGAGAAAATCCTAGTGTGGGGCAACGTTATTTTTAAAAAAAGAAAACGTAATATACGGTGTCCTCCAATAAGGTGGAGTGACGATATCCGTAAGGTGGTTGGCAGTGGTTGGATGCGAAGAACTGAAGATCGAGCTCGGTAGAGGGCTGTTGTAGAGGTATGTCCAGCAGTGGATGGAAGCGGGACTATGAAAAGAACATAAGCACGGAAAAGTTCTAATTGGTGCGCCCATACGTAATGGTTTCACCTGTGAAGTGTCGAAACGCGAGCCACGATGTCTTTTCTATTGTGTTTCATATCGACAGACAAGATGTTAATACTAGTGTCTTGGTTAGAAGAGAGACCGCGTTCAGCGCTCTCATTGGTCGGTTCTAATGAAACAGCTAATCAGAGCGCGAAACGCGGTCTCTTTTCGGTCTCATTAATCGTAAAACTCGTCCTTTGTGGTTACAAACACTTCGCTTCGATCTTGGCCTAAATATAAGTTATTATATTGGGTACTGGTCCGAAGAAAGAAATTATAGTTATAAGATATGAAATTTATACATCTCTATAATACATTTACGTGGGAATCAGTTCCATAAAGGTGGTTACAGATAAAATACTTATATTGAGCTGTACTATTCAAAGATAAGGCTCACTTTTGTCTAACACAGTGATATATCTTAGTTTTATGATACGCGATTATAATACTCGTTATATTGATATGTGCTAAATATTTGGACAGACTAGTTATTTATTGTCTGTATATATTTTACAAGTATCGAAAAAAATTTAAGGCCTTTTAGTAGACTTTACAATAAAAACTGAACCCTATATTGTTCAAAAATAGGATTCAATTTCATTTCGATTTTAATTAAGCTCGAATTAAGAATGCTAGCTTCGGATAACTTCGAAAGTAGTTACGCAAATTCAAAATAAATCTAATAACTTGATAGAAAATCGAAGGCCCTTATATTGTGATATTAATAGTTAATCTTTCAATACAAAAAGCAGTTAAAACACTAATCCTTCCACAATTCTACTAAAATCTTCTCATTATTCTGTAAAAAAGAGACACTACTATATAAATGCATTTGCCTCTCTCTCTAACAAAATAACAAGACTTCTAGAACTTTCATAGATTCAATACCTACTCTTACGAAGCTGCGATCACAAGGCATTTTGGCACTAACGTGTATATTAATAAAGTACATTTTTATATACAAAAGACCCACTACATAATCCGTATCAGACACGCAAAATACTGTGGAATAATATTGAAGTTGAATAAAATGCAATACTGTAAGCTAAATGGTGGTTTTGAGACAAATTATGCGAAAGATTTAATTATATGGCAAAGCTTGACATTTAAAAAAGTTTAATTTGAGTTCTTTATGAAATAATCAAGAATGCATAACAAAGATTTACTGACGTACCCAGAGACATTCAATAATTACTTAACCCATACATCCCCAAGCGGTCACCGGTGACCGCTCTGCACTAACTCCATTATAGACCTTATTTCCAATGTTTAGAGACTACTTTTGTATGAACAAATTTAGGAGATGAATTTCAACGGGTAAACTTTACCTTAGAAAGATTTTGTTCCGAAAACAATTGGGTACTTTTTCTTTGGCAACCTAGTCTCCAAAACGGTGTTGTCGACTATACTGCCAGTGTCGAGTGATGACGGCAGAATTAAACTTTTGAGTACCGTCAATATAGACACAATTAAAGAACAATAGGTTGCGGTCACCGGTGTCCTCGCGGTGTTTGACAGTTTAATGAGCCGTCGAACTTAACTTTGCGGTAGTTTTTATTTGTTAATAGCTGAAAGTACAAAACAATTGCCAACTAGTCAAATTCAATACTTTTCGAACTGTCATAAACGACAGTTTCCTATGAATTTTGTAGGAGATTGTGTATTGGGACGTCACGTTTTTTTAGCATCAAACAGCATAGTTATTTCTCATAAATATGCTGAAAAAATATTAAAATTAAGTTGTTCATAAAATCAATTAATGAAAGTGTGATTATTTTTTAATATTTTATTGTATTGGACAGTCGAAATAATTTATTTATAATTAAAGAAAGTACCCAATTGTTAAGAAATCATTAAACGACTGAGTAACGGCAGTTAATGTTATGTACAAACAAATATTATACTTATTTCCATTTACCTTCTTCTTGATGTAGACCAAGGCAGTGTCGTACACAAACATTAGTAATCGTAATCGTCATTAACTTCGAGTACCTACTCTGTACGTATCAAATCACATACATAACAATAATATTGCAGAAAAACGTCTTATTACATTTGATACGAAACTTATATTAAGAAGGAACATCACTTTATCAAGACACCGCATGTTTTCCGCAGAATAATTTTTGAATTCAAACCACGAGCTCGCCAATTGATTTTACACCTTATATCTAGGAGTATAAAGCTTGTATACGAGCTCATGATTTGAGAATATTGGGTCACACTTAATACAGAACTTAAACCACAGACATTGACGTGAAGTTAGCATTAAGGTGAATTCACATGTAGCTGCATTCACAGTGGTCCAATGGAGAATGTTACTGTGACGTAATTTTAGAAATGTATTCGTATTTTCTAATAGCATTGAAGCAAATATAATGAAAGATGATTATTATCAACAAAAACTACAATATATGGGACGTTGTATAATCACGATACAACGTTAATTTGCAGCAAGACATCAAAAGTTTGGACGCATATAATTCGGCAAGTTTTGGTCGTACGACAAAACTAATCATACCGATCGATTCATAACATCAAGGGCTTTACCGTTAACATTCTCCATTGGATGTCAGAATGGACACAATGGACCTATGACAAAGGAAGCTCAGTGCTCCAAAGTGCGGAGCGGGAAAGCACTAGCTACCGAGGTATATACTCTAAAGGATACCAGGCTACAGTCTCTTGACGGAGCGGCAACGTGTTCAGCGGAATGACAACGCCGCCTAAGAACTGGTTTTCTTGTAACGAGTCATAGTTCCACACTGTGGCTTGAAGGCTCCGTTGGACGACCACTTCCATTGGTAGTCTGTATTCTAACATCTCCATGAACGATGGATGGGAGTTACGTTTGAGAACGCGTGTCTTTCTCTTCGTTTCTTTTGTTGGATCAGGTACGAGGTAGACCTGAAGAGAGAGAGAGGTATTATTAAGGATACACTTACGAAAAATAATGCCATCGTATTGGTGGTCAAAATAAACTCATTAGCCACAAGCTCACACCGCAACTGTTGAGCAAGAAATCTCGAGTTTGATTCTAGAGTCTACCGGTATTATTGAGACAGTCTGTTTCGAAAAATTCTCAAATTATATTATTATAGAGGCATTTGAATTATCCCTTATTACAACGAACATTAAACATAACTGACGAACGGAAAAAACAGACGTAATGTCCCTTATGACAAAAAAGAAATTCAATTCTTAAGTCCACATAACTAGAATTCACATTACCTTAACATAGGGGTTAGGCGGCAGGCCTTGTGGGGTCAAGGCGAGCGACTGCGCGTGCAATATTAACACGGAGAGCACTCCACTTGCATACTGAACGGATAGCTTCAATGAACCAGAGCCACTATTCTCTGGCTCCGCCGTTTCACCTGTAAACCGTAACATATATGGCATTAGGTTCATTATACATTGCTCATGACTTGGAAGCAAGGTGATATTTTGTGTTTGTGTGTGACCGATATTTTTGTGTCTCGGTTAAAAACTAAATAGATTAAGTATTTTAAGGGGATTAGAAACTTAATAGGCAAAAAGTGTACCTGATGAATTTTGTTGATTGATTACTTCTACAAAGAAACGCGATAATAGTCTTATGTATTTTCTTCTCTTTTATGTACATAATAATCATTTTTAAACGACTGTAAATCGTGTAGCAAACATTTGTAACAGGCAGTAAATAGTAAAACCGAAAGTTAATCAATCAACAACTTTCGCATCGCCATATATCTCAGTCAGGACCAATGACCATCATTTCGCAAAAAAGGAAAATAAATTACATCGACTTTCAATTTAGGCAAGTCTTTGTGATTTACCTTAGACTTAGCATCGACCTTTACATAAATCGAGCTTAATATTTGAGAGTAAACAAAAATTGTAAGGTTACTGACCTCTCCTCCTCTGCGGCTCGACGTCCTGCTGGTCTCTCAGCAGCGGATGGAAGAACGTGTACACCAGATCGGAGTGAGCGATCTCGTCCGCTAAACTGAATAATGACGTCAAGAACGCCTGCACGTCACCAAACCGACGCTCTGCTACCTGACGGGTGTTCGAACGACCAACGTATAGGCCCGATGGTAAACTGAAATAAAAGTTAATAAATTACAATCATGAAATACATTTATCTCTTTAAAAATAGTCCGTGAGCTAGACAGTAATTTTATTTTATTAGCAGTAGTATCTAATGATTTTTTGAGTCAAATGGAGTACCCAATGTATGGTATTAGGCTCACCAATATAACAGACTTTTTTAATATAAGTGGCGAAAAATGGATTTTCCATATTCTTCCGTTATGGAGCCCACCTCAATGAACATCTCTGTTACAGGACGTGTATAATTCTCATTGGCAGAAGAACAATCTTAACATAAAAATATTAAATTCGAAACGTTTCTCTCGAACAACTTGCAAATTTATCATCAAGATTATTTTAAGTGAAACAAGTGTATTTATTTCTGCAAATAGGCTACAAGGCAGCACTTTTACACGTCAATTTTATCAAGCGAACGATGAGGCTGACATTCTAAACTAAATATAGATAAGAGAATTTCTTTTTGTTTTGACAAGATTAACATTAAAATTTAACAAGATACCTTCGATTCGACCATGAACGCTCTAAAAGTAGGTAATCCACCTAAACTACAGATGTATGAATTGAACTGTTCAAAAAAAATTACTTTGATATTAACAACAACAACGACGACAACCCTACTGAAGTGTGTACATATAGACATTAGACACAACCTTTTTTGTGAAAAAAAGTGGTTAATGTAGCACGTAAGATTTTTGTAACAATTAATTTTGACTGTAAATTAAAAGAAAATGTAATGGCAAGGCACGGACAAGAGTCCGTGGAGAATAAGAAATGTAATATTTAAAAAAAACCTACTGTAGGGTTGAAAATCTGTACACATTAAAATAGGCTTATTTCTTGTTGTCTAAACGCCTAATTAGGCATTATCTGGTCTTAGTCTAGCAGTACGGTTTTCGTTTTCAAAATCATAACATTTACTGTCCTTAAAGAATAGACACAGATGTGGCGAAATTAAAAATAACACTCACGTTTTGCCCTTTAGTCTTATCAGTCAGGTGATGCTTTTTGCAATACACCAAGCATACTAAGAATTTCATTGCAAAAATCATTTTAAGTATTTACAATCAACAATTTAGTTTCAGGGAAACATGTAACTTATATTATCAATTATTATTATCTTTTGTGATGAAAAATTAATCCCTTGATAATCTTGTAATAAATAAATGTAAATTAGTCAGTATTGATAAGGGGCGTGTGACCGTTTGTGTGGCGGACATCTTTTCCTTTTAAAAACGTGACTATCGTGTATCGAACTCCGAAGTCTACGTTTGTGCACGTTCACTTATGTCACTGAGTCATCAGGTACAGGAAAAAGGGTTTTCCATTTTACAAATATATATAAATGATAGTATTATATTTGAAATTATGTCTAATATTTTAACATATCTGCATAACATTGTTCTCCCTTCAATAAACGAGCGGTTAAATCCAAATCCTTTTTTAGAACCTTTCTCCACAAACATGATATATTTATTTTTAATTACGTTTTTGTTTAACGGAGGAACTATTGAACAGCCTGATATTTATGAGAATTAAAATCAAATTAAACCATGACCTAGCACACACAATTTTACAGTTCCAATTGAAGCCACGAGTGAATTGGATGGTTCTTTCTGAAGCGAAGGCATCAAAGCAGTTCGCGAAACTCGTACCATCGGCGCCATATATTTCAAATATCCGGCCACTCGATTATACAGAATTATTTCACATTGATAAGATTACAGTCATTAGTCGAGGCTCCCACGTTATCTTATCTGTAACACAGCCGTATTGATTTAAGCAGTAATGGCTGAACGAGTGTTGTCAACACCTACACTGTTTATTTGCATTTGAATTCCTTTTGTTATTTTTTTTTTATTCTAATTATATGACAATTATTAGAGACGGCGTAAGTATTTTTTAATTTCTTATTTTTTCTTTATTTTTTTTTTAAGTTATAGACGTTATGAATCATTTACGGTATTGAATATTGTGTTGTGAATATTTTTTCCTGTGAGTGATATTTATTAAAAAAATATATTAAATACATTTTTGAACTATTTCAGTTGACATAGTAAACAATGTTTGGGTTCAAAGCATCGCTTAACTTCTATAATGGCAGTAGACGGAAATCGAAGAAAGAACGAGCTGAGATTGGCGCCGTGCTCTCCGTTACTGGTGCCTACAGAACCAATAGAGATGACTCTTTCGGTAAGTATTTTACAAGACAAACTAATTAACGTTTTTGTTAGTGATTTTAGCTATTTCTATCATCGCATATAATTTTTTCAACCTGTCTACTGGTTTCATTAGATTTTATGATTCGAATAATTAAAACTCGTATAAAGACCATAAGATAACAAGACACTACATAACCATAACTATTTTTCAGGCTACAACTACCCAGAGATGCGGAAATCAACACCAGCGCTATACAACCAACCGCCACCCGCGGCCGCACCCCCAGTTCGACCAATGAGACAAGCGAAAAGCACAAGCAACCTGATCCTTGACAAAAACCTCCCACCGAACTTAAGACCAGAGAACCCAGGAGTATCCAAGGACCCACGAGGAGCAGAACAAGACCCTCGCAACAATAGAATCCCAGACAAAAGTAAAGAAAGAAAACTAGACGCACAAATAAGAGTAGATAAACAGAGACTTGAAGAACAAAAGAAGTTAGAGAAACAGCGGATAGAAGAACAGAAGAAATTGGAGAAACAGAGAGCAGCGGAGCAGAAGAAGAGAGATAAGTTGGCGATGAAAGAGCAAGCAAGACAGGAGAAGTTAAGGAAAGAGATGGAGAAGCAGAGCAAAAAGGGTAAGGCGCCGCCACCGCCATTACCTCCTGGGGGGAATCCTGTTGCGCCAGTACGACAGCCTCAACCGCAAGCATTATTACCGCCCGGAGCCAACCCAGTCGCGCAACTACGACAGCAACCGCAACCGAGCACATCGAATGCACAACCAGCACAAATGACACACTCAACAAATACTCTAGAAAGTTCTATCAGTAAGAGCAGTGGGCCCCCTCCGTACTCTGCTTCGAGACCAGAAGGAGAAAAAGATGCGACCGGCAACGTCATTTACACGAAGCCAGATGAAGAGGATAGTTGGGATATGATATCAAAACATAGAGAGAATATGAACAGGGCTGCAGCCGCTGCAGCAGCCACAGCAGCTGCGAAATCTTCTGCCAAGCAAACAGTAATGGACTTGAACTATAAGGTCGGTGATGATAGTAAAGACAATAGTGAAGCTTGACACGATATAAACTGAGTTTTGTTTATATTTTTGTATATTATAGTTACTAAGCGTTAATATGTTCGTTGTTTTTCTATTTAAGAAATAAATTTATATTTTCATAGTAAATTACGTCTTTTGTATTGTCTAAACTATCTCTTGTTTGTTTCTAATCACATTGCTAAACACCGCATCGACATAAATAAGAGATATTCTCCTATATAACAGATATAAAAAAGGAAAAACCCAATATACTGCCCGCTACTATTTATGATATCAAACCTTCGACCCAATGAACTTAAATACTTTAAATAATACTAAACACCCATAAAGATTACAAACAAAAATTTGCCTTATCTACACCTGATAGTATGACTCAAATATAAAAATAAATTCCAAAAGGATCTAGCTATGTAGGTACCGACATTATACAATACATGCTTAAACATTAACCCATTAGAACTTACTACAGATATTTCAATACAATAAGGTTGACATTAGCTTATAAATACATTTCCTTAACAAGACCAATCAATATACTGTTGTTTTAATTCAGCAATATCAAGCGATTTAATTTCAAATTGGGTTATGAGTCAAATTTATCGATTGTCCTTTAAAATAATGATATCATACAACAAAATAAATGTTTCGTACAAACCAAGCCATTTCAAAGTTTTGTTTTGAATGTATATACGAGGATTTTACTGATAATTTGTTGTTTAATCTAATCTTTAATGATTTATGTAACAAGAATTCTTTGGGACAGCAATTAGGTTATGCGATGCGCTTGTTAACGTGTTCGAAGGTAAACTACGAAGGTAAATGATATCTAGATAAAAGTCAAGTATTAGTTTAAACCGCTGATATTTAACTACTTGAAGGAATGTTTAGTTAAATGTATAAGTCACTACATAGTATAAAACATGTCGCTATCTGCCCTATTGTTGGTTTTTTGAATAGATAAAGTGATTCTTAAGGAAAGTTCGTATAATACATGCATATTGCATCCGTACGTATTAATAACATATTTTCCTGACGCCTGACTCACAAAAATAATGACAATTTCAAAGTCAATCCAAACTTTGGTTTGGTAGAATATCACATTCGATTTACGCAGTGCTAACACGTGCCAACTCTAACATAGAAATAAATAGTCGGCCAAGTTACAGTCAACCTCCCGTTTCCTCGGAGACCACATAAATAGTATTATTTACTCGACTGCAGGAAGGGTATTGTTTTTGGTGCGTATCTTGATTTTTTGACAAAGCAGCAACAAAGGGGTCATCCATAAATTACGTCACACGAATTTCATGATTTTTTGCCCCTCCCCCCGTCCTGGTCACACCTAGTCACATATGTGAGACCCCCTAGTGTGACATCACATTTTGCAGAATAACGAATGTATAAAAATTATTGAATGAAAACAGCGGTTCCGAAATCAGTTTTATTTCTATTTAAATTACTTTAAAAAAATATTAATACAATTATTTCATGTTATATAATACTTTTTGAAATGTGACATCACAAAGTTTAGGATCCCTCCCTCCCCCTTGTCACACAATGTCACACTTCGTCGACCCCCACCCTACCCCTACGAGTGACGTAATTTATGGACGGCCCCAAAGGTATAAAAACATAAAATAAAAAAAAAGAATTAAGATAAGAAAAGAAAATTTGACAAAATTAGCTTACCTGTGTACTTTAGCAAGAGGGAAGTGAAGACAAATCTTCTGGTATAGCTCTGTGAAATGTTTGTAGGACCTGTACAGGACGAATGGCGTCGTCTGACCCTGCCTGAAGATGCGCAGTGCGTACACGTAGTGCTTTTCCGGGTCATAACGCTTCTCATAGCCGAGACATTCCACACTTATTAGCCGACCTTCTTGTGCCATACTGTGCAGGAAAAAATAAATTAGTTATTGAGTGAACTGGACAAAATTTAAACATTAACATGTCATAATTTTAACAGTAAAATGAGGTGAACACTTCAAATAACTGCTGTCAAATTGTTAATAGAATTTCAGCCTTGTTTTTCTGTGTAATAAAGTCCAAAATCTATTGTAGTAATAGTTTAATAGTATACAGAAACAATTTACTTACGTATACGTGCGAGGCATGAACGATAGCAGTTCGCTAGTATTATTGCTTTGGTCGCCACTCGCGCGTAGCTGGGCCAAGTTGTGGAGGAAGAAGTTGATCGGTGTGAATCTGTCAGGATACATATATTTAATTAATTATCTATCTATGCTGCACGGTTGGTGCTGTGGCTGGGCAACCGGCTGCCGTGCAACGTGTCGCGGGTTCGATTCCCGCCCGGAACAACACTTTGTGTGATCCACAATTTGTTGTTTCGAGTCTGGGTGTCATGTCTTGTCTGTCTATTTTTAAATATAGACATGTAACGCCCTAATACAGAAAGGTTACTCAATTTTCAGTTGTATTTAAATATCGTGCCATCTCTGTCGTTTTACAAAGAATTTGAATTGACAGAACTATAGAGGTACTTAAGCACGGTAGGAAATTGAGTGAGTGTTTGAGTATAGTTCGGACATAAAAAGTTGGTGAAGATTCGATTGACAAACTCTGTGCCTTTAGCCAAACGCCACTTTAGCGCTTGTCTACAGAGAGAGTAGAAAACTAAATGTATTGGGATGACACTGACAATAGTATCAAAATTTACGTCAATTCCATATAATTTGGTTTTCTATTCAACATGTAGACAAGCGCTAAATGGGATTTGGCTACAGATGCAGATTTGATGGTACACAAGGCTACACATCGAGCTTTACATAACCAGTATAAACTGAACGTTAAATGTGCAGAAAGATGAAGCGACGCAAGACCAGGGTAAACTGGTTTTGTATAGATTGATGTGTGGCCGTGTGTACAAAGAGGTTGATATCAATAACAGTGTAAAAAATAGTCCAGTTTTATTTTAACCTCTCGTGAGTTTCTCGTACACCCGTGTGTACGAGAGAGTTGAGTGCCCATCGCGCAATTGTACACAATACGAGAAACGCGCACCGATTGGATATTTTTTCTGTGACGTATATTTTAAGTTCGCAACTCGTTCTTTATTTAATTGAACAGAATAGTTAATTCGCTTTTCTATTAAAATATTTACCCATGTGTACGAGAACGCGCGTTTACCCATGTGTACGGGAAGCGCGCGAGAGGTTAAAAAAAATAGAGTAGCATTTATAATAATGAAAAAGCACATACTTGCTCTTAAGCGAGGAGTGTATGAGCCTGGCGAAGGCGGCGGCCGCCTCCGCGTTGGTGGCGGCCGGCAGCAGCGCCGCGCGGACGTACCCCACCGCCGCGCTCGTCACGCCAGACACGCCCGACAGCGCCATCTACACACACACATAGTATAAGATCCCGTTATAGAACGACCTTCACCGAGATGCTTATTTAATGAAACGTATTTTATATTTAATTTAATATGTCAATAAATATAATCCATATGGGTTGCCTAGCAAATTTCAGTCCAGAGTATGTTTAATTAATAATTAAAAAAAAATATTTTTTTAAACATTTCACCGGTATGATTATTAGATAAATTCTATACCAATCGAAAGTATGAAGCCCATAGAATACACAAACGTTAGGTTGCCTATTCTTTTCCGGTCACAACTATCGGGTTGCCAGGTATAAACAGGTAAATCTGTACTAGCATTTTGCAACGTTCTGTTTATTGGATGAAATTTAAATCAAATTAAAGATTATTTTATTCTGAACACGGTGGTATAGGGTTGCCAGCGAAAAATAAGTCCAGAATTGCGGTTGTCGAATTTTAAAAAGTTAAATATTGCTCCGAGTGAATGTGTGCGACTGAGAGGTCCCAACCAACCATCCCATGCGATAGAAGAGGACACAGCATAGCAGCTGTGTAAAGTCCGGTCATTTAAAGAAAGAGAGTGCGCATGCTCTTTGGGCTTGGAAAAGAAAAGGATAGCGATAGACTATGCATCATTTTGGAGTAGAGTGTCGCTATAAATACAATTGAAAAAACGTGCTACTATTTATTGTTGGAAAAAATGGCAAAAAAGTGTTTTTTGTGTGGATCGGATGGTGAAATAATTGACTTTAATGATGAAACTTTCAAAAACTGTGTATTAAAGTTAGCTTTTCGTAAAAAAAAACACTTTAAATACAATTTTGTTGAGCTACCCAGTGCGTCTCTTCAATTTGTAGGTTATCATACCACGTGCTACAAGAAAGTGACCGTTTTGAATAAAAAATATAACGAAGAATTTCTTAATTTTAGTGTTGAATATACAGTAAGTACATAATAATTGAATCTTTAAAATTATCTTAGCTAATACATCTTCTATATTTTTTTCATGTTTAAATAATTGTTAGTAAAATTCGCCTATGGTTTTGTTAATTTTCGACATACATAATTTTTTTGTAATTTACTTAAAAATGGCAATCTATAACCATAATAAAACTGTAGAGAAGTCAATTTTGTACATTGAACATATTTTTAAAATTAATATTGGAGTATGATTGGTGGTCGATACTGATGCCAAAAAATGCAATAAGTATTTTTTTTGTCTGTCTGTCTGTCTGTCTGTCTGTATGTGCACGCATAAGTCAAAAAGTACTGAATAGATTTCGACCAAACTTGGCACGAATGTAGTCCATACTCCTGGGCACTAGTTTATAAATTAAACAAGAAAAAGATCTGATTTCTTTTTTTTTTTTGTAACAATTAATGAGGATGTTTTCAATCAACTATTCTTATCAAGAAGTTTATTATATCAAACATTTTCATTTAATCGCAAAATTTTTTTTTTTTTTTTAGGAGCATAACAATGTATCTACTACTGAAGAAAAATCAAAACAGTTGAACCCTAGTGTCGATTCCTGTGCTACAGTTGCTGAAAATGAAACGAGTAATGTTGAAGACCTGGCCCAAACTTCTGGGGACTCTGACACGGTAATAAAATATTTTTTGTTTTTTTTTAAGTTTCTTTAAAAAAATGATATGTAAATATGATTTTTACTCAAAGAATGATTTAATTCTTTTAGGAGCAGTCAACATCAACAGCATCGACATCAAGCAGAATTATTTGTCTTTTTTGTGACCACAGCCAAAAGAGATGCGGGAAGAAGCTGGTCAATCTTACTGTACCTAATGAT